GATTGATTACACAATAAATATTCACAACAATATGATGGTATAACACAAACCCTAAATGCAAACACATATAAGATCTGAACAAATTATTTCGAAATTTGTAAAAGAAAACTCTTGCATAAAAGGAGGCTATCGTAAAAAGCTCAGCATTAAATACTTACAGAAAGTGTTCTAATGTAATATGTTTTATGAGTTTCAAATGACCTTAACGGGTGACAGATATTCTGGTTTATTAATCCTGGAAGAGACTGGCATATGTCTCCCACAATATTTAATCAGTTAAATACCAACTATGCCAAACCTGTTTCTGCTCAGTTACATGTCTTTAAATTACTTGATATGATTGTAATTCTTCTTTTTCTCTTAACTCTCGTACATGTGTATTTGAACTAACCTTGAATGTTAAAGCTTGTTTGTTGTTTAACGTCGCATTAAGCAATAATCCACCATTATGACATCTGTTTGTACACAATCAAGTCTTCACCAGGCAAACAGTAACTGATAGTGTAAGCAACGATCCACGCTATCAGGGTAGAATAGTACGCAACCAACCAAGTACCCGAGACTGACCACCCCATCCATTAACATGCCTCTTACAAGCATAGGCTACTTGAGATTCCCCACAGGGTTTGAATATTAAAATGTTGATGGTATATCTTTAGGAATATTTCTATACATCTGAAGACATGGTGGACAAGACATTCCTTCATGATCTTATTTAATTAATTCATATGAAATGTATGTACTATTTCTTAATGCTGTCCATGGAAGGAAAGATTCAGTCAAAAATAAATGAGTCTTAACAATGAAAATACCAAAGCAACCCTCGTCTTGTCAGTTTTCTTCATCTAATTTTAATATCTTATTTCAAAATTAATAATTTGCAAATAAAAGATGAACAGCTGAGAATGAATGAGTTGAATGGCTTGCCATAAACACTCTTTGTACAATAGGATATGTTTATATTAGACAGGTTCAATACTTTTACAATAGGAGTAAGCAAGTGCTGTTGTGTAACGGCTACATCAATTTTACTATAAGACGCAGGTAAAATAAGAGTTATCATTCTTGCTTGAAGTAGTTCTAGTGATCATATATTTGAAACCTTCGAGAGGGGCACGAGTCTACATTCGGCTTGTCCTGGAATTGGACGAATTGGTCATGAATGATTGATAACATGAGCACAGATCTGAAAAGTGTGTGGCTAAAAGATGAGAACACATCGATAAAGTCTGTGCTTGATCCCATGCTGCAGGGATTGGGCAAGTTGATGGTTGATCTTAGAAGCACCAATCCAAATCTTCAAGGTGAAAGGATATCCAGGAAAACTAAAATTCCTGTCACTTTATCAATATCACACATCAACAATCCTCGCACAGTCAAACTCTAAATAACAACAGTCAATACCAAAATGTACAACCCACAACGGAATAACAGTCAGTCCCTGAGCACTAGTTGTAAACATAAGTTTTGATGAGTTCATAATTTTTAATGTAACAAAATGCAACTTGAAGTTCATGAGTTGACTGTACCATTCACAGCTCTCCGCCATTGTGGCCATGCAATACCCATTTGACTTGTGATAATCATTGGGTTGGAAGAGTCCGGAGACTTGCGTAGGGAGGTGTCATCGGAACACAAGGGGACACAAGCGGAACACAACTGAGATAATGATGATAGAAAACATTAAGTAATGCGGCTACTTATATTCATATATAACTCCAAGTATAAAAGATGTTTACAAGTTAACAACCATTGTCAGTGGTCAAGATACAGTGGGTATCTACAAAATATAAACATGATACATTGATTATATATATCATTTCTATGTCTGTTATTCAAGATCTGTGTATCAATACCAACTAATCTGCACAAAGGAGGACTTACAGGACATTAAAATGACAAGTAAAATGCAAATAAGTCTATCACCATAGCAGAATTAAATTTGCCCCCAACAATCTGGGTAAATAGTTCTTCTGTGTTCATGTACTAAGATGTTCTCTAATATGAGCGCTGACCATGTGGAATGTTTCTTCACCATCACTCCTTAAACCAAAATTTCAAGATTCACCTAAAATAAATATTGTTGATTCTTTTCTAATCATTCATATTTTCTAATTGCTAGAATGTTTTACATTTATATATGATGGGGTAATTACACTGTACAGAATAAAATATGTCCAAATCAACTCTTTCCTGAAAGCACAGCTGAACCTTTTTGATAAAAATCCCAAGTTAGAAGTTTCCATGTGAATCACCTGGCAATCACTCCTCCACCATCCAGTGTTGTACATCTCCAATCTATTAGGTTACATACCCTGGCTCGACTTGTCACTGTGGCACTGTATGCATCACTTGTAGCCAGGACTTCGCACAGACGTTCTCTCACACATCAGCTTGAAATGAACAACCACACAGACTCTTCCCAACTGTAGTTGAATACATCAACATTCAAAATTGTGGCCTCATGTAAGTGAAAACCCATTAATCGAATCAGAAGACTGTAAGAAATGTATTATTAGTTTGACTTAAAGCTTTCCTGAGGCAAGTCCATGTGCTACCAGTCACTACCAGTTGTATTTGTCCGCAACAAAACCAGTAGTAGTGTATTCGAGATTATTACAATCATGCAAGAATAATAATATTTGATTTGATGGCTATTATAAGCCTTGGCATTCACATCAGAGTAAACACAATGGTATGGTGGCGATTGGGTCATAGGTATATATATCATAATATATTGCTCAACATTTGCTTAGGACCAAAATAGTCATCTATAGTAAGGTGTGGTCCTTAGCAATGTTGAGTAGTATAGAATGAAGATACACTACTCTAGATAATACATGAGGCTACGGGTAACTATGAATATGGCTAACTGCCTCGCTGCCACGTTCACGTCCAGCCTGAAAGCAGGTGACTGAACAACACTTCCTTTAGAAACTACCCCTCAATGTTTTCACCACTGATACCAGTAACTTCCACCAACAATGTTTGACACCAGCACAGACCTGGACTGCAAAGGGATACATAGTTACAGTAGTGTAGTAGTGTACAGCATCATAACAAGGCACAATACTACAATGTGCAGTGGTAAGGATAAAATTAGCATCCACACAAATACCAACTGTAGAGACATAGCCATCATGGCTAGGAATACATGTCCTCATACATCAACAGTTATCAAGTCACATCCTGTCTAAAGCAGCAGACACTAGTAAAAATAAAACAAAACAAAACATCAAACACAAAGTCAATATTCTATAACAACATGGCAAATATCAGTAAAGTGACTAGAAGCTAAGTATGTTCATGAATTGTTGAAGTAATATTTAAAACAATATAACAATTAACTTCTTTCAGTGGCATTTAGAAGTTGGTGTGATGAAGAAAGGCAAGTTCTATGGAACTTGCTTTATAAAGATGTTAGGATCTACACCGAAAAGTCGCACTAATTGTAATAAGAAAGTTGTTCATCCATAGAACTGTCTTTCTTCAATATAACAATTGTTTATGGCACAGAAAGGAAATGTTTTATCATACAGGTCATGTTAATTGTCTACAATGATTATGACCTTATTCTCAATATACATTTTTGTCACACAGCATCAGTTCATTTACAGTGATGTTAGGATATAAATTTGAAATAAATTAAGGAACTGTTTAAGATTTTTGGTCACAGACCTTTCTTTATAATAATTATAAGTATCAAACAGTCAAAACTTCCATATGGTCCAGATTGGACTTTTCCCAGTCTTGATGCAGACTACAACTGTGTTTATGCTGGAGCGGTTTTACTGATGTCTCATTGCAAAAGCACCAAAACTACAAACTGAGCTAAATGCATACATGTAGAGGAGCAACACATGACCACAGAGTCTACAAGAGAAGCAGCACTAATTAACAGTCTCCCTCTGGGACCTGCATACAAACATTCTTCTCTGAAAATGTTCTTACCTCAATGTCAGAATGATGAGACCTGATTGGTTTACGTGATCTTGATAAAATACTATGTATCATCCCTTGGAGGGAAACAAATTTCTCAGAGGGAGAATAAACTGCTTATACCCCACCTAGAACAAGACAGGCTGCGTGTGGATTTCTGGTGGGAGAATAAATCTCTTACACCCTGCTTTGAAAAAAAAAGCCACACGCTTTTTCCAAGTCAATGAATATCACGTGACATTGCACAAGTTCACCTCAGCTCAATCGGACAGCTGTTTTCTATCAATTTGAAGTTGTTTTAATTTACAGTGTCATATTAAAACATGTGGGTAACATATATTCATTGTAGCAGTATCATGTGCATTACATGTGGTCTTATGCATCCCTGTTAGGTTTTATACCACTCGCCTCCACACAAAACCACATGTACCCCTCATGATACTGCTACAACTTATATTGTACTCAGCGCCCTATGAAAACCCAAGGGTTTTGTTCTGAAAGTAACCACATCTATCATGTATGAATATGATGACTGCAGAGTACACAATAAAAGATGATGTGATGGAATGTGAGAACTTCAGGCCAGGTTAAAAAGAGTATCCTGCAGGTCAGGGAGAAATACTGCATGAAGTACATACATACAAATGTATATTTAAACTGAAGAACCCAAATAATACCTGACAGTATATTCGGTACACACAATAAACATTGGCATAATGATTTGAGGTTGTGCTGGTACCACAGGTTATTCGTCATCTTGTTGTTTTTATGCTCCGCTAAGGTCACCGTCACAGCAAGCAGAAACTCAGCCATGAGACCAAAATTTATCACATGGTTATTTCCCAACCAAAACATGATATAACAATCTAACAGCATAACAATGAATAACATTCAGAGATGAGCCGTCACTGTTTCTTCATAATGATAAGTTCTAATTACGCCTTTATATCAATAACTGATAACGACTACAAACAAGAATATGAATATGACCTATTGCATGGTACAGAACATTTATATATTTTCTTTACAATTAACAAACATGAGCTATTATTAAGGTAATGGGGGTGTTTACGGGAGGTGCTCCTAGCTATTATGAAGGTAATGGGGGTGGTTGCGGCATGTGCTCCTAGTCAATAGGTAATGGGTGTATCTACAGGAGGTGCTCCTTGTCAATATTAAGGTAATGGGTGTATTTACGGGAGGTGCTCCTAGCTATCATTAAGGTAATGGGGGTGAGTGTGGCAGGTGCTCCTAGTCTATATTAAGGTAATGGGTGTATTTACGGGAGGTGCTCCTAGTCAATATTAAGGTAATGGGGATGGTTGCGGCATGTGCTCCTAGTCAATATTAAGGTAATGGGGGTGGTTGTGGCAGGTGCTCCTAGTCTATATTAAGGTAATGGGTGTATTTACAGCAGGTGCTCCTAGTCAATATTAAGGTAATGGGGGTGGTTGTGGCAGGTGCTCCTAGTCTATATTAAGGTAATGGGTGTATTTACAGCAGGTGCTCCTAGTCAATATTAAGGTAATGGGGGTGGTTGTGGCAGGTGCTCCTAGTCTATATTAAGGTAATGGGTGTATTTACAGCAGGTGCTCCTAGTCAATATTAAGGTAATGGGGGTGGTTGTGGCAGGTGCTCCTAGTCTATATTAAGGTAATGGGTGTATTTACAGCAGGTGCTCCTAGTCAATATTAAGGTAATGGGGGTGGTTGTGGCAGGTGCTCCTAGTCTATATTAAGGTAATGGGTGTATTTACGGCAGGTGCTCCTAGTCAATATTAAGGTAATTGGGGTGGTTGTGGCAGGTGCTCCTAGTCTATATTAAGGTAATGGGTGTATTTACGGGAGGTGCTCCTAGCTATCATTAAGGTAATGGGGGTGGTTGTGGCAGGTGCTCCTAGTCAATATTAAGGTAATGGGGGTGGTTGCGGCAGGTGTTCCTAGTTATTAGCAAGGTAATGTGATTGTTGCTATTAAGGTAACCTGGCATTAGGGCAGGTGTTCCTGTTTTATCAAGTCTGATGAATTGGCTATTATATGTAGGAACCTGTTATGAGTAGGTGAGTGAGTTGGGTTTAACGCCGCTTTTAACAGTATTCCAGTTATATCACGTAGTGTCAGCTTAATGTGGGAGGAAAGCCCGAAGTGATGCAGGTCTCAGACGTTTACCACTTCGGTGAAACCCACGAGCACAGGTATGGTGCTGAGAGCGTGTTGTGAAGAGACAGCACCAATAAGTGTTGTGACATGCTACTGATACAACAAAACACAGGATAAAATGTAGAAACCAAACCATTCCTATAAGGAACAAGAGCACTAAAACACTGCAAATCTAATCGAAATGGTCACTTGTAATAAGCAAGGAATAAAATGATTTTCTTTTACTTTTACAAGTTCATAAATGTTTTAATGTTATAAAGAAAGTCATCACTATGATTAGAGCAGATAAATAATTACTTTCCACATAAATTCATTATTACAATTTTTCAAAACTGCTTGTTTCTTTTGTCATCTATGCAAGATGACATTGTATAAAATACTGCTCAAAATATTTAATTTGATCTCATAAACAGAGATTACTTTTTAAATACAGGAAGAATCCCTGATAGTGGAAACCTATTACAAATACTGTGTGAGTGAGTGAGTAGGGTTTTACACCACTTTTATCATTATTCTGCAACATCACAACAGGGGCATCAACCCTGGCCTGTGACATGAAAGCATTATGATAAGGCTGAAACGCTGTGCCCTGGCATCAATGCATTATCAGGACATTTGGGAATTCATCTGAGGTATTCTATGCCTTCAATAGTGTAAAACTAAAGACTACAACAGCTTCTTCACAATGTCTTTGAAGTCAATGTCTGAACCAAGCTGGGAAAATGTCTTTCAAATTTGGTATTCTGAACATTAGTTGTAGACCTGGGGCAAACTCTGGATCTCTGAGAATGTCTCCAAGAATCCCTCTGTTTACACTTTCAGTTGGGATATTAACTGTAGATTCTGCCTTGAGATCTTCTGTAACAATCCAACATCAAGGGATTGTGCCTCAAAAGTCAGCTATTTTCAGCAACCTTATACAACATTAGCATTTCGATCAAAACTACACATACAAAACGTTTCATACAAAATTGTATACATGGCATTAGGAAATACTTAATCTTGCAGCGCCATTGAATTTGTTTGATTCTAGCTGAGAATAAATACATCGTCTCTTGTAATACTGAGTTTGATTTGTTACTTCAGATGGTAACTTGATTGGTTTTACTAACTCAGACAACAATATCAATCTGTATAGAAAAACAAACAAATATATAGCTACCAGCAGCTGTGGAAGGTTCCATGAAACTTGTCCTAACATCTTTGTACACAAATTGTCTAACATCTTGAAGTATTCAGCAAAAAAGCTTCTGAGAAAAAGACATCGGCTTGGAGGGCTAATAAATGCCTCAATTCAACCGTTTTGAGGACAAGAACCTGTTTTCACCTCAACACCCTTGCAAGGTGAAATGTACAGAAGGGTCAACGGGTCATGTACCATGTAAGTAGTCCGTCATGGGAAACAGTCCGCTCTCAGGGCTACATGGCTCACATGTCAAAATGGCCGAAATATCTGTCAGTCATGTGTCAATGAGTTTGTCCAGCTAACTTGTCATTTTCTTCCCAACACTTTCGTGTAAAAATCAGACAAACTTTGCATGGTCTGGTAGTGTTGCCTAGATGTTAAATGCAGCTCTTTCCAAAGTTCATGGCAACTGACTGCAATAAATCTTCATAGGAAGAGTGATGAGAAGTTGAATCCAATATGGTCTCCTCAAAGCCACACTTTCGAACATGTTAAACCACAGTTTTGATGTAGGATGTACAGAGACCATTTGTAGAGAGTTAGGAAGTATTTTGACTTGTAGTTTCACAGAGCGGAAGAAGTACTCTAAAACAACATAACATGATCTTGGAAAACTTTACATCACATCAAACATGACAACACAAGCACTGCCTAGCCAGCAGACTCTCAGTAACTGAAAACACAGTCAACTGTGACATCACATCAAACATGACAACACAAGCACAGGCCAGCCAGCAGACTCTCAGTAACTGAAAACACAGTCAACTGTGACATCACATCAAACATGACAACACAAGCACTGCCTAGCCAGCAGACTCTCAGTAACTGAAAACACAGTCAACTGTGACATCACATCAAACATGACAACACAAGCACTGCCTAGCCAGCAGACTCTCAGTAACTGAAAACACAGTCAACTGTGACATCACATCAAACATGACAACACAAGCACAGGCCAGCCAGCAGACTCTCAGTAACTGAAAACACAGTCAACTGTGACATCACATCAAACATGACAACACAAGCACAGGCCGGCCAGCAGACTCTCAGTAACTGCAAACACAGTCAACTGTGACATCACATCAAACATGACAACACAAGCACAAGCCGGCCAGCAGACTCTCAGTAACTGAAAACACAGTCAACTGTGACATCACATCAAACATGACAACACAAGCACAGGCCGGCCAGCAGACTCTCAGTAACTGAAAACACAGTCAACTGTGACATCACATCAAATATGACAACACAAGCACAAGCCAGCCAGCAGACTCTCAGTAACTGAAAACACAGTCAACTGTGACATCACATCAACAGGACAACACAAGCACAAGCCGGCCAGCAGACTCTCAGTAACTGAAAACACAGTCAACTGTGACAACACATCAAACATGACAACACAAGCACAAGCCGGCCAGCAGACTCTCAGTAACTGAAAACACAGTCAACTGTGACACCACATCAAACATGACAACACAAGCACAAGCCAGCCAGCAGACTCTCAGTAACTGCAAACACAGTCAACTGTGACACCACATCAAACATGACAACACAAGCACTGCCTAGCCAGCAGACTCTCAGTAACTGCAAACACAGTCAACTGTGACATCACATCAAACATGACAACACAAGCACAGGCCGGCCAGCAGACTCTCAGTAACTGCAAACACAGTCAACTGTGACATCACATCAAACATGACAACACAAGCACAAGCCAGCCAGCAGACTCTCAGTAACTGCAAACACAGTCAACTGTGACATCACATCAAACATGACAACACAAGCACAAGCCAGCCATTGGACTTGGGACAAATTAAAACCAGGATGATAAATACTGATTCATTGCTCAGGACCTTTTTACACTCCAGTACAATCATTCCAAAATATATCTTAGATCTGACTTAAGATTGAAGCAAAAAACATTTTCAACACGTAACATGGGTCAGTGTGTCTGACAAAATGTTATGCTATTACACTGTAATATCAAGCAGAAGGTATTTGAAACCAGAAAAAGATTACATAAAATTACTACAAGACAAGGTATATCGAACATGGCTGATATAGCAGTGGCATTCCTTCACCTCAGCACAAGTGAACAACAGCACAGTTTCCCTGTGGTGTTTGGAAACTGTATGAACACAAATGTATATGACCACATGAACAACAAAAAGAAATATGAAAATAGTATAGAACTTATTTTGTGATGGTGAGACCATGATTTTTCTTAAAGGTAAATCTAAAGTCTTAAGAATACTGTACCAGCACGGTAAACACGTTTAAAGCATTATTAGTTTAATAAACATAAACAACAAAAACACTCATCAACTGTAATAGTGTTGAATAAAATTATTGATGATGTTATAAAAGAGGTGCTGCATACGAAATATGGTAATAAATCATTTACAATTTTTGTTTGTTATCTTAGCACATGTTCTATTTGGCTCTTGAAAATACTATTCACAGGTGTGTACCACCAATGCCATAGTCACAGTGTGACGCCCCAATGCTCACTCCACTAGTCCACTAGTCAAGTAGCCGATGACATGCACACTGGCCCAACACACCCAATGGGTCTTCTGTGGATGCAGCCATGCTTACATCAAACTATTCTTCTAAAATAAGCTAATTTTTCAATCCAGATCAATCTATTTGTTATTTAACAGATTTACTCGGACAGTATGTCAGGATAAAGAGGGAGGCAAAGTCTACACAAAGACTCAAAAGGAATAATGTTAAGCTGAAATAGTATATGAAGACCACATACAGGCATCTCCTTGTATTGTTCACGTTAAGTTGAAAAACGCACTTAATGTGTTAGTAATAATGTACTCAATGTGCTGTCATTGTATTGTCAAAGAACATCAAAAACATTCAATTTGACAGGATTTAAAAAAAAATCTCAAATAGAGGTTTATTTCAACATTGCCTGTTGTGGGCACACCTGCTGGATGAATTAATAAGTCTGCTTGTCTGTATCACTCCTGTGTATCACTGCATGTCTGTACCTATGTAACTATGTATTATTTATCTGTGTATCATTGTATGTCTGTGTCTATGTATCTGTTTGTATGTCTGTACCTATGTATCTGTGTTTGTCTGTCTGTACCTATGTATCATTGTATGTCTGTACCTATGTATGTCTTTTTGTCTGTACCTATGTATCATTGTATGTCTGTACCTATGTATCTGTGTATCACTGTATGTCTGTACCGATGTATCTGTGTATGTCTGTACCTATGTATCTGTGTATGTCTGTACCTATGTATCTGTGTATGTCTGTACCTATGTATCTGTGTATGTCTGTACCTATGTATCTGTGTATGTCTGTACCTATGTATCTGTGTATGTCTGTACCTATGTATCTGTGTATGTCTGTACCTAAGTATCTGTGTATATCTGTACCTATGTATCTGTGTATGTCTGTACCTGCATATCTGTGTATGTCTGTACCTATGTATGTCTGTACCTATGTATCTGTGTATCACTGCATGTTTGTACCTATGTATCTGTGTATCACTGCATGTTTGTACCTATGTATCTGTGTATCACTGTATGTCTGTACCTATGTATCTGTGTATGTCTGTACCTGCGTATCTGTGTATGTCTGTACCTATGTATCTGTGTATATCTGTACCTATGTATCTGTGTATGTCTGTACCTGCGTATCTGTGTATGTCTGTACCTATGTATGTCTGTACCTATGTATCTGTGTATCACTGCATGTTTGTACCTATGTATCTGTGTATCACTGCATGTTTGTACCTATGTATCTGTGTATCACTGTATGTCTGTACCTATGTATCTGTGTATCACTGCATGTTTGTACCTATGTATCTGTGTATCACTGCATGTCTGTACCTATGTATCTGTGTATCACTGCATGTTTGTACCTATGTATCTGTGTATCACTGCATGTCTGTACCTATGTATCTGTGTATCACTGCATGTTTGTACCTATGTATCTGTGTATCACTGCGTGTTTGTACCTATGTATCTGTGTATCACTGCCTGTTTGTACCTATGTATCTGTGTATCACTGTGTGTTTGTACCTATGTATCTGTGTATCACTGCATGTTTGTACCTATGTATCTGTGTATGTCTGTACCTGCGTACCTATGTATGTCTGTACCTATGTATCTGTGTATCACTGCATGTCTGTACCTATGTATCTGTGTATCACTGCATGTCTGTACCTATGTATCTGTGTATCACTGCATGTTTGTACCTATGTATCTGTGTATCACTGCGTGTTTGAACCTATGTATCTGTGTATAACTGCATGTCTGTACCTATGTATCTGTGTATGTCTGTACCTATGTATGTCTGTACCTATGTATCTGTGTATCACTGCCTGTTTGTACCTATGTATCTGTGTATCACTGTGTGTTTGTACCTATGTATCTGTGTATCACTGCGTGTTTGTACCTATGTATCTATGTATCACTGTATGAGTTTCCAGCTGTACAACTTGTTGGTCCCATGACACAGAGGTACAACAGACGGTTCCTTCAACTCCCACACTTTGTTGACAGGATTCTCTTCACACATGGCAACAGCACAATATGCCACGCCTGACAACAGCTGGTGAAACTCGGAAGCTTTCCGTACAGGTTTCCCACACAGCTGTCGGGAACATACGTCCAGAGATCCTGCATGTCCGACCATCAGGACATTCCCACCTGAAGAAAATAAACAGCTTACATCATTCTTCAATATCTACAATATTACGGCTTTTGTCTACATTGTCGCAGGATTCGTCAATCCAGGATTTCACAAATATGGAGTAAAATACAAATACTAACAATAAAATTTCTTTCTTCTTAAAGAGTTAAACTTAAAAGTAAATAGATAAGAGAAGGGAAGTATCTCGGTCGACATAAAAACAAAAATAAATAGCTATGTCAATCAAAAAACTGCAGCTAGCTACGTGAATCAATGAAAGTGATGTAGAAGACATGGAATTTATTTATAACATATTTTATTCAGCTTATACTAGCATTGTAACAAAAATAGGTAAATGTTTAATTTGATTCTTTTCTGGCTGCTTTTCAGTAGGGGCAGCGGGCCCTGAAAATGAAAAATAAAAAATGTGTGTCCTTAGGGCGAGAGATTACAATGTGTAACCTGACAGATTGTGGGTCATTGTGCCCTAAAGACGAGGATCGCTGCCCATACAGTCAACAACCGAACTACGTGACCCTCACTCCTCACTTATTTCTATGATGCTGTGATATATAGCTGATTGTGGCAGAAAACAATATTCACTCACTCCCATGTGAGTCATGTGGATCAAGTGTAGACTTGTGTCCATGAGTAGGCAACTACCACCCAGTTGCAGTTATTCAAAACAACAAGTTGGTCAAAGAGAGGACAAAAGAATCATATAAAACAATAAAAGGAAATTGTCAGCAATGAGAAACAGTAAGTAAGGGACTTTGATTTAATGCTGCTTTGGATAGTATTTCCGTTGAAGTTTGAGTTTATGAAGCCTAAATTGATGCAGTATTGGGGGTAGAGGGTCCAAGCTTCAGTGAAGCCCATGGGCACAGGTTAGCTGCATCCTCGATTATCCAGGGTATTATATATTCATTGTATTGAGATAAGAATCCTACTTCACTATCACAGCTTCACCATCTTCTTCCACTCTAATAAGCAACATCCCACACCAACTCACAGCAGTGTTATTGATTGGGTGTCCAGGTAGAGGAGAAAACACACCTCCAAGGTTTTGCTTTGTTGTTGTGTGGGTTGTGTTTTCCCTGGCTTATAAACCATCAAAAGAGTTTAATTTAAGCAAAAAATCTAATTCACATTTGGTGCGTTATAACGAGACAATTGCAAAGCCTGTCCATATATATGATTGTTGACTGTCGATTTAAGAACATTGAAACACCAAGTACAAATGTCATTAACTACTCACCTCCCACCAGGTCTTACTAGGAACAAGCAAAACCTCACACCAAGGCCCACTTGCATAAAGCGATCTTAGCGCTAAGATGATCGTAACTCCCATACTTTAACATAGGCTTACAATAGTCGTAGTGCAAAGATTGCTTTGTGCAAGTGGGCCCAGGTCTTACTAGGAACAAGGAAAACCTCACACCAGGTCTTACTAGGAACAAGCAAAACCTAACACCAGGTCTTATAAGGAACAAGCAAAACCTCATACCATGTATCACTAGGAACAAGCAAAACATCACCCCAGGTCTTATAAGGAACAAGCAAAACCTCACACCAGGTCTTACTAGGAACAAGCAAAACCTTATACCATGGATCGCTAGGAACAAGCAAAACCTCACACCAGGTCTTATAAGGAACAAGCAAAACCTCACACCAGGTCTTACTAGGAACAAGCAAAACCTTATACCATGGATCACTAAGAACAAGCAAAACCTCATACCAGGTCTTACAAGGAACAAGCAAAACCTCACACCAGGTCTTATAAGGAACAAGCAAAACCTCATACCATGTGTCACTAGGAACAAGCAAAACCTCACACCAGGTCTTACTAGGAACAAGCAAAACCTCACACCAGGTCTTATAAGGAACAAGCAAAACCTCACACAAGGTCTTACTAGGAACAAGCAAAACCTTATACCATGGATCACTAGGAACAAGCAAAACCTCACACCAGGTCTTATAAGGAACAAGCAAAACCTCACACCAGGTCTTACTAGGAACAAGCAAAACCTTATACCATGGATCACTAGGAACAAGCAAAACCTCACACCAGGTCTTATAAGGAACAAGCAAAACCTCACACCAGGTCTTATAAGGAACAAGCAAAACCTCACACCAGGTCTTACTAGGAACAAGCAAAACCTTATACCATGGATCGCTAGGAACAAGCAAAACCTCATACCAGGTCTTACTAGGAACAAGCAAAACCTCATACCAGGTCTTACTAGGAACAAGCAAAACCTCACACCAGGTCTTATAAGGAACAAGCAAAACCTCACACCAGGTCTTACTAGGAACAAGCAAAACCTTATACCATGGATCACTAGGAACAAGCAAAACCTCATACCAGGTCTTACTAGGAACAAGCAAACACTCACACCAGGTCTTACTAGGAACAAGCAAAACCTTATACCATGGATCACTAGGAACAAGCAAAACCTCATACCAGGTCTTACTAGGAACAAGCAAAACCTCATACCAGGTCTTACTAGGAACAAGCAAAACCTCACACCAGGTCTTATAAGGAACAAGCAAAACCTAATTCCAGGTCTTACTATGAACAAGCAAAACCTCATACCATGGATCACTAGGAACAAGCAAAACCTCACACCAGGTCTTACTAGGAACAAGCAAAACCTCACACCAGGTCTTATAAGGAACAAGCAAAACCTCATACCATGTATCACTAGGAACAAGCAAAACCTCATACCAGGTCTTACTAGGAACAAGCAAAACCTCATACCAGGTCTTACTAGGAACAAGCAAAACCTCACACCAGGTCTTATAAGGAACAAGCAAAACCTAATTCCAGGTCTTACTAGGAACAAGCAAAACCTCATACCATGTATCACTAGGAACAAGCAAAACCTCACACCAGGTCTTATAAGGAACAAGCAAAACCTCACACCAGGTCTTACTAGGAACAAGCAAAACCTTATACCATGGATCACTAGGAACAAGCAAAACCTCACACCAGGTCTTATAAGGAACAAGCAAAACCTCACACCAGGTCTTACTAGGAACAAGCAAAACCTCATACCATGTATCACTAGGAACAAGCAAAACCTCACACCAGGTCTTATAAGGAACAAGCAAAACCTCACCCCAGGTCTTACTAGGAACAAGCAAAACCTCATACCATGTATCACTAGCAACAAGCAAAACCTCACACCAGGTCTTATAAGGAACAAGCAAAACCTCATACCAAGTGTCACTAGGAACAAGCAAAACCTCACACCAGGTCTTATAAGGAACAAGCAAAACCTCACACAAGGTCTTACTAGGAACAAGCAAAACCTTATACCATGGATCACTAGGAACAAGCAAAACCTCATACCAGGTCTTACTAGGAACAAGCAAAATCTCACACCAGGTCTTATAAGGAACAAGCAAAACCTCACACAAGGTCTTACTAGGAACAAGCAAAACCTTATACCATGGATCACTAGGAACAAGCAAAACCTCACACCAGGTCTTATAAGGAACAAGCAAAACCTCACACCAGGTCTTACTAGGAACAAGCAAAACCTTATACCATGGACCACTAGGAACAAGCAAAACCTCACACCAGGTCTTACTAGGAACAAGCAAAACCTTATACCATGGATCACTAGGAACAAGCAAAACCTCACACAAGGTCTTACTAGGAACAAGCAAAACCTTATACCATGGATCACTAGGAACAAGCAAAACCTCACACCAGGTCTTACTAGGAACAAGCAAAACCTTATACCATGGATCACTAGGAACAAGCAAAACCTCACACAAGGTCTTACTAGGAACAAGCAAAACCTTATACCATGGATCACTAGGAACAAGCAAAGCCTCACACAAGGTCTTACTAGGAACAAGCAAAACCTTATACCATGGATCACTAGGAACAAGCAAAACCTCATACCATGGATCACTAGGAACAAGCAAAACCTTATACCATGGATCACTAGGAACAAGCAAAACCTTATACCATGGATCACTAGGAACAAGCAAAACCTCACACCAGGTCTTACTAGGAACAAGCAAAGCCTCACACAAGGTCTTACTAGGAACAAGCAAAACCTCATACCATGGATCACTAGGAACAAGCAAAACCTCACACCAGGTCTTACTAGGAACAAGCAAAACCTCACACCAGGTCTTACTAGGAACAAGCAAAGCCTCACACCAGGTCTTACTAGGAACAAGCAAAACCTTATACCATGGATCACTAGGAACAAGCAAAACCTCACACCAGGTCTTACTAGGAACAAGCAAAACCTCACACCAGGTCTTATAAGGAACAAGCAAACACTCACACCAGGTCTTACTAGGAACAAGCAAAACCTTATACCATGGATCACTAGGAACAAGCAAAACCTCACACAAGGTCTTACTAGGAACAAGCAAAACCTTATACCATGGATCACTAGGAACAAGCAAAACCTCATACCAGGTCTTACTAGGAACAAGCAAAATCTCACACCAGGTCTTATAAGGAACAAGCAAAACCTCACACCAGGTCTTACTAGGAACAAGCAAAACCTTATACCATGGATCACTAGGAACAAGCAAAACCTCATACCATGGATCACTAGGAACAAGCAAAACCTCACACCAGGTCTTACTAGGAACAAGCAAAACCTCATACCATGGATCACTAGGAACAAGCAAAACCTCACACCAGGTCTTACTAGGAACAAGCAAAACCTCACACCAGGTCTTATAAGGAACAAGCAAACACTCACACCAGGTCTTACTAGGAACAAGCAAAACCTTATACCATGGATCACTAGGAACAAGCAAAACCTCATACCAGGTCTTACTAGGAACAAGCAAAATCTCACACCAAGTCTTATAAGGAACAAGCAAAACCTCACACCAGGTCTTACTAGGAACAAGCAAAACCTTATACCATGGATCACTAGGAACAAGCAAAACCTCATACCATGGATCACTAGGAACAAGCAAAACCTCACACCAGGTCTTACTAGGAACAAGCAAAACCTTATACCATGGATCACTAGGAACAAGCAAAACCTCACACCAGGTCTTACTAGGAACAAGCAAAGCCTCACACCAGGTCTTACTAGGAACAAGCAAAGCCTTATACCATGGATCACTAGGAACAAGCAAAACCTCACACCAGGTCTTACTAGGAACAAGCAAAGCCTCACACAAGGTCTTACTAGGAACAAGCAAAGCCTCATACCATGGATCACTAGGAACAAGCAAAACCTCACACCAGGTCTTACTAGGAACAAGCAAAGCCTCACACCAGGTCTTACTAGGAACAAGCAAAGCCTCATACCATGGATCACTAGGAACAAGCAAAACCTCACACCAGGTCTTATAAGGAACAAGCAAAACCTAACACAAGGTCTTACTAGGAACAAGCAAAACCTCATACCATGGATCACTAGGAACAAGCAAAACCTCACACCAGGTCTTACTAGGAACAAGCAAAACCTTATACCATGGATCACTAGGAACAAGCAAAACCTTATACCATGGATCACTAGGAACAAGCAAAACCTCACACCAGGTCTTACTAGGAACAAGCAAAGCCTCACACAAGGTCTTACTAGGAACAAGCAAAACCTCATACCATGGATCACTAGGAACAAGCAAAACCTCATACCAGGTCTTACAAGGAACAAGCAAAACCTCACACCAGGTCTTATAAGGAACAAGCAAAACCTCATACCATGTGTCACTAGGAACAAGCAAAACCTCATACCAGGTCTTATAAGGAACAAGCAAAACCTCACACCAGGTCTTACTAGGAACAAGCAAAACCTTATACCATGGATCACTAGGAACAAGCAAAACCTCACACCAGGTCTTACTAGGAACAAGCAAAACCTCACACCAGGTCTTATAAGGAACAAGCAAAACCTTATACCATGGATCACTAGGAACAAGCAAAACCTCACACCAGGTCTTACTAGGAACAAGCAAAGCCTCACACAAGGTCTTACTAGGAACAAGCAAAACCTCATACCATGGATCACTAGGAACAAGCAAAACCTCATACCAGGTCTTACAAGGAACAAGCAAAACCTCACACCAGGTCTTATAAGGAACAAGCAAAACCTCATACCATGTGTCACTAGGAACAAGCAAAACCTCATACCAGGTCTTATAAGGAACAAGCAAAACCTCACACCAGGTCTTACTAGGAACAAGCAAAACCTTATACCATGGATCACTAGGAACAAGCAAAACCTCACACCAGGTCTTATAAGGAACAAGCAAAACCTAATTCCAGGTCTTATAAGGAACAAGCAAAACCTCACACCATGTATCACTAGGAACAAGCAAAACCTCATACCATGGATCACTAGGAACAAGCAAAACCTCATACCAGGTCTTATTAGGAACAAGCAAAACCTCATACCAGGTCTTACTAGGAACAAGCAAAGCCTCCCGAGAGGTTACTACAAGATAGGAAGATACCTACAATGCAATAGGCACAAGTGGCAGTAGGTTAATAATTTTAGTGACAGGTCAAACGAATGAGACTGAAAATAAAAACTCTGGTAGCCAAAGAGTCCAGGGTGTTATCAAATCAAAATGGAGATATCATACCCTGAATATCTGAGGATGGGTCAGCTGCTGACAAACCATGCAGGGACCATAGTCAATGCAAATGTGGGACTTGATCCTGAAACTCAAGTCCCCAAATAGAGTCAGTCCAGAATTTATTTTCCTTACCTTCTGGTTCATGTTTGCGGAGAGCATACTTGACGAAGTTTGCATTTCTTGTGTAGAACTCATCAACACTCTCCTCGACATTCAGCTTCTTGACGTCCATGAACGGTACGTGTGAAGTGTCGATGTTGAAGCTGTTCCTAGCCAGGTCCGCTGGGCTCATCCACTTGGGTATGACAGGGTTGTACCATCCCAGCCACTCAAACAACACTGGCTCAATACAGATCTTACAGGACAGGCCCAAAGCTGGAAGCACATGCAAGGTGACAACATCACTAGGTAGTACTGTATCACAAATAAACTGTTTGTGCTGTTTGCACAACTACATAAAATTGATTATTCAGGATATTAGTATACTTATTCTGACACAACATATTGCAATTTCCTTCTGGACTTCGATCCAATAACACAGAACCCAAAACGTGCCTTTTCCTCCAATAGGGCGCCCCCAGCCCTTGGTTACGAACAGGAGTTATCTGTCCCTGATCCCTTCACTGTCTTCTCATCAGCGCTTTGTGTGAACATCAGACGGATGTATAATAATTATGTAAAATCAAATTCATGTATAGTCCATTTGACTCCAAATGAGAACGATGAATTGCAAAATAACTCAAAATCCAGAAAAGTGTATGAAACATCAATACGGTACTTGACCATGAATACCCTGTACCCAACAAAATCTAAATTTTGTTTAATTTAAGACCCATGACTGATGAAGTTCTTTAAGAAACTATCATGTAATTTTGTATAGAAATGTGTACATGACATGTAGGGGGACAAACTGTGGAAGGAACAGCGCAAGCACGGTCTGCACGTGCTACACAGTGACCGTGTTTATTCAATGACAAGATGCGCTACTCAGCAGATGTTAAACAGTTGATGTTGAATGCGTATGATTTCTTTAGAAGTGAAGCAGAAAGATCAAAGCCTTTTTATGCAATTAATAAATTCTTGAAACGAGCTTCAAAAGCTCTTGGTATGTCCCCTCAGAAACTTAAAAATGTTGTTAGTCGACGAGATACAAATAGTCAGGCCAAGGAGGTAGGGAACATGTCAAAACCACGCAAGGTTGTTAAATTAGACAGTTTTCAGAGGGATCGAGTCAGACGTGCAATTGTTAAACTGCACTCAGAAAATAAGTACCTGTCCCTAAGAATTTTGTAGAAACACCTTGAAACTGACCATGATTTACGTGTTACAAAGTACAAACTATGGCAGCTGTTGCATACATTTGGTTACAAATACAAAAAGATAACTGGAGAAAATAGGACTGTGTTGTGTGAACGGTCTGACATTGTTCGTCTCCGAAATCATTACCTTCGTACCATCAAGCAGAAACGTGAAGAAGGATATGAGCCCGTCTTCTTAGATGAGACATGGGTAAATGCGTCACACACAGCCAGCAGTCAGTGGGTACCCAGTGGTGACTGTAAGGAGTCTGGTAGAAAGTTACCAATGGGAAAGGGTGAAAGACTCATAATTCTCCATGCTGGTTCTGATAGTCAGGGTTTTCTCCCAGACTGTGACCTCGTCTTTAGAGGCAAGGCCAAAGACAACAGGGACTACCACACAGAAATGAACGGCAATGTATTTCTGGAGTGGGTGAAAGATAAATTAGTCCCTGCTTTGCCTACCAAGTCTCTCATTGTCATGGACAATGCACCCTATCATAGTGTGCAGGATCCAGAAAGCAAGACTCCAACCTCTAATAACCGTAAAGGAGACATGGTTACTTGGCTGCAACGGAGGAACATTACCTTTCCTTCTCGAGCGACGAAACCACATCTCTATGAAATCATCATAACTATGAAACCTGACCCCGTGTATAAAGTTGACAGTTACATCAAGGGTCAGGGTCACGCTGTCTTACGACTGCCACCTGATTACTGCGACCTGAATCCAATCGAGTTGGTATGGGGCATCGTCAAGGGTGACGTTGGACGATCGAACACAACGTTCAAATTACGAGACGTTGAACAATCCCTTGGTCGGGTAACAGTAGAAACATGGAGGCGTTGTGTGGCCACAGTCATTGACGAGATAGAGCCACGTTATTGGTCACGAGATGGAAAATGGCCAGCAACAGTCCAACCTATAATAGTGGCAGTCGGTTCAGGCACCAGCAGTTCATACGACGAGATCTATGGCATGAGCGAGTCAGATTGCGACTGAAATTATCATGAGATGGCCCCTCTAACGCTCTGTCATTTCCCCTACCACAGACCGTGCAGTGCATGCGTGCTTGCGCTGTGCCTTCCACAGTTTGTCCCCCCTACGTGTCATGTACACATTTCTATACAAAATTACAAGATAGTTTCTTAAAGAACTTCATCCATCATGGGTCTTAAAATAAACAAAATTCAGATTTTGTTGGGTACAGGGTATTCATGGTCAAGTTCCGTATTGATGTTTCATACACTTTTCTGGATTTCGAGTTATTTTGCAATTCATCGTTCTCATTTGGAGTCAAACGGACTGTAGATTATTTCTTATCCTGACACAGCACATTACAATGCTTATCTCAGAGATGGCAGCAGGGTCTGCAACTTGTGGTATTTGTAACAACCAGGGGTCCGGAAACCGTCATATGCGCCGGACATGTCCGATTGGGAATCTCAAATGTCCGTTTTAAAATATTGCTTACCGGACATTTTAAAAAGTATTGTCCGGACATTCTTAAATTTTGACCGGACATGATCAACATTTAGGACTGAGCAGTTTCTGTCTGCAGTTGCAACACAATGAAGATTAACTACACTGACAAGCTTTGTTTGTTTTGATTGCTGTAAATACATCGTACCTACATGATAGTCCAATCGGTCAATCACTGTAATAGGCAATAAACTGAGTTGACACTGATTAATCGAGGATTAATTACTGAGAACATCTTGTTAATTTGAGTGAAAGGTGTTTACAACTGTACATTAATACCTTGCATCATCGATGTACCTCATTATCCTCACAATGCTACGATACGTAACCTCAGACAAGAAGCGAAAGCGTGACGACAGCCAGTCGACCGATGCAGATCAGTCGAGCGGATCTGCCAAACCCTCAAAGTCTGGACGATCATTTTGTAAGTCGTGGCTAACGACTTTCACTTGGTTGACATACAATGAGGATTTGCAGATTTTATTGTTTTCAGTAGCTAGTCGTATATTGAATCTTGATTGACCGCCATTTTGCTTTCTCGGACGATCGATATCCAATTTTTTTATGGTCAATAATTAAGTACAGATGAAAAAAGTATTCAAATAAGTATTGCTATCAACGATATTTTAGTATTTGTGATAAAATTATCTGTCTTGTTTTTAAAAAAATCTTTAGTTTAAAAAAAACCTTTTCCCGTGAGGTCACGTGATAACCAAATATGGGATGATAGTCTCGATCCAAATGTTACAACGCGTACACTTGAGCAGACTCATGAATATTAATTAGACCGTTAACTACGTTAACAGATCGTTATTATAACAGAAACAAACGTATGTTTTCCATGTAAATCTAAAATGATATTATTTGTTATTAATTGTCCGGTGAATTAAACAATTTAAATTGAAACAATTCATAATTCATTATATTATGAATACGTAAACTTGTAATGTGTGTGAAAAGTCGTACTAAAATACGCTATTTGAAGGGGGCGTGGCTTAAATGCAAATGTCCGATTGGGATTTTAAATTTTCCGGACCCCTGGTAACAACCTTGATCATGTCTGGATTAGGCTATGCACAGTGGGGCACCCTCTTGACACTCATCCCGTATCACTTGTGACATCCAATACTTGACGCCCGGAGGATAGGAACCATAGGATGTAGCACGTGACAATCCTAGCCCATCAATCCCTCAGAATATTTATTGAGCCAAATGTGACACAAGGAAAATATCTGGCAACGCCCTGAAAAGGTGCTGGAGCTAGTGGTATGAGGGTCCCCCGGGTTACATCTGGAACAGGCGAAGCGCAACAGATGCGCTCACGACCCTAATCCCGTAGCACCTGTCACATCCTTACTCTAACATGTAAGACTACGCTCCATGTCTGAGTACCTGTGTGGTCTCTGATATGTGTTGCCTGGAGCATCAGAACGAAGGATGTAGTGTATAACAACCCAAGCCCAACAATTCCTCAGACTATTTCTTGAGCCATGTGTGATACAAGGGAAATATCTGGCAATGTAATGAGTACAGTGATGATGGGTCTATGAAAACACAGCAGGATCCAACATCGTTCGTAAGGTGAACAGAACGGAGGAACGACATAAGATATTGTCAAACAATATTCATTCATGAATGGTAGTCTGGATATATAGAGTGTCAAAATCAATGACACCAACATGGGACAGCTAACAGCTGCGCCAGGACAAGTGGCCTGAACTGATGAACACCCTCTATGTCTTCAACAGAGAGGTTCCTCAGATAGTAGTTGACCAATGTTGTGTCAGTGCACCAAAAACATCCTTTGATAACATCCGTCACCTTCCAGTTGGTATGCAGCGTATTGTGGAAAGCCAGGGCTTGTATTTCCTGGGGATTGTGCGCCCAAGGTGGGTCCAATCCTGCATGTTGATACGCCTTCAGAATTGTAGCACGAAGCCAAAACGCCATGGTATTCTTCGTCACCTCCGCTCTACTTCTGGTCAACAGAGGTAGGAACAATATAGTTCCAAGTAATGCTTAAGCGCTCGAACAAGACACAATAAGAGATCTTTGGTGTCCTCAGTCCCCAGGACGGACGATAAGGACAATGTGGTGAACCACCGATTATCCACTGTTTTTTAGCCACAAAATCCTACATAAGGCACAAGTGAATCTTATCATCTGGACCCCTGTCAAACTTAATATTAGACATGTCCAAAGCATGTATTTTACCAATACCTGTTGCCACAGCCAATGCCATGAGAAAATCTTTTGAGTTACAAACTGTAATTCAGCCTGCTCCATCGGTTCCTAGGGTTCAAGATCTGCTCCGGAAACGAGGACTACCGCCATTTTCAGTCTAAATCAAAGTCGTTGCAAAGGAAACTCCAAAAATAATTTATTTTAAAAATCCCTCACTATCAAAAGGCACCAGTTCACCACTAGATCTATCTATGTGCCAAGTATGACGAAGAAATATGGTACGGTTTTCAAGATCTGCTCCGGAAATGAGGACTACCGCCATTTTCAGTCTAAATCAAAGTCGTTGCCATGGAAACTCGAAAAATAACTTTTTTAAAAATCCCAAACTACCAAAAGGCACCAGTTCACCACTAGATCAATCTATGTGCCAAGTTTGGTGAAGAATAATGGTACGGTTTTCAAGATCTGCTCTGGAAACGAAATGTGACGGAAGGACGGCCGGAGGGACGGACAGCACCCATTCCTATATCCCCCTTCTACTTCGTGGCGGGGCATAATAAACATTCAAAATATTATAACATTACAATACACAGATACAACAGAATACCAGGTAAGTACAATCTGAAATATGACATACTCCTATTATATCTACTAACCTTTCACGACTTCTGAGGCTGTCTGTACACACCTTAGCGCTGGGGAGCAGTACACAAAGGAGATGGGTACAGAAGCTGTCTTCAGAGCATCCCCTGGGCAAGGAAATACAAGGTGTGTGATTGGATTTCATACATCTAAAATGTACTGTACTGGATTACACATACAAATGTATCTTGCATGTATTGTTCCACAGTGAAGACTCACCTGTAAGATGTGCTTGTACCTTACCCATCTCAGTCAATGGGCAGTCTTTTATGTACTCCAGGTAGGTGTTTCGGGTCATCATTTTCTTAGGGAGGTTGAGGTTAACTCGTTTGTAGTTACCTGCAGATTCAAACATATAACCGGTTCATAGATCTTCCGAAAGGCAGACAACAAGTATTATCCTGCTGAATCAAGTTCTTGCCAATGACCAGTTCACCATTAACACAGCTAAGGGTACAAAATGACTTTTATTATCTAATTTCTGTTAACACATAAAATTGAACTCATATACAATAGCAGTGAATCTTTCTGTCCAGAAAGGACCACGTAGTGGACCAGACAAACATACTTTCAGTACAAAAATCCTGAATATGGTGTATCATGAGTATTGTCTTTCTGTATATGAAGATGTTCCCAGGGGATGAGGTCAAGCTGAACAGTACCCAGACCTAGTCATCATCTTGAAGGTGAGGTCCAGATGAACACTGTTCAGACCTACAGTCATCATCTTGAAGGTGAGGTCCAGATGAACAGTGTTCAGGCCTACAGTCATCATCTTGAAGGTGAGGTCCAGATGAACAGTACCCAGACCTACAGTCATCATCTTGAAGGTGAGGTCCAGATGAACACTGTTCAGACTTACAGTCATCATCTTGAAGGTGAGGTCCAGATGAACAGTGTTCAGACCTACAGTCATCATCTTGAAGGTGAGGTCCAGATGAACACTGTTCAGACTTACAGTCATCATCTTGAAGGTGAGGTCCAGATGAACAGTGTTCAGACCTACAGTCATCATCTTGAAGGTGAGGTCCAGATGAACACTGTTCAGACCTACAGTCATCATCTTGAAGGTGAGGTCCAGATGAACAGTGTTCAGACCTACAGTCATCATCTTGAAGGTGAGGTCCAGATGAACACTGTTCAGACCTACAGTCATCATCTTGAAGGCGAGGTCCAGATGAACAGTGTTCAGACCTACAGTCATCATCTTGAATGTGAGGTCCAGATGAACACTGTTCAGACTTACAGCAGCGTTAGAAATTGTCACTAGTCCTATAGTCCTTGCCAAACTGCCCAATGGTTAAGGTATCATAAGGACTAGTAAAAATTTGCCCTTTTTAAGGGTTTTGCCATATGTTATCATTATAAGAACTAGTGGATGAAAAACTGTTAGTTTCTACCGCTGTTACAGTCATCAACTTGAAGGCAAGGTCCCGATGAACAGTGTTCAGACCTACAGTCATCATCTTGAAGGTGAGGTCCAGATGAACAGTGTTCAGACTTACAGTCACCATTTTGAAGGTGAGGTCCAGATGAACTGTGTTCAGACCTACAGTCATCATCTTGAAGGTGAGGTCCAGATGAACAGTGTTCAGACCTACAGTCATCATCTTGAAGGTGAGGTCCAGATGAACAGTGTTCAGACTTACAGTCATCATCTTGAAGGTGAGGTCCAGATGAACAGTGTTCAGACTTACAGTCATCAACTTGAAGGCAAGGTCCCGATGAACAGTGTTCAGACCTACAGTCATCATCTTGAAGGTGAGGTCCAGATGAACACTGTTCAGACCTACAGTCATCATCTTGAAGGTGAGGTCCAGATGAACACTGTTCAGACCTACAGTCATCATCTTGAAGGTGAGGTCCAGATGAACACTGTTCAGGCCTACAGTCATCATCTTGAAGGTGAGGTCCAGGCCTACAGTCATCATCTTGAAGGTGAGGTCCAGATGAACAGTGTTCAGACCTACAGTCATTATCTTGAAGGTGAGGTCCTGATGAACAGTGTTCAGACCTACAGGTTTTTGTAAAAATCTTTGATTATATTTTTACGCAGATGATGTTTTCCGAGGACTACTGTCTTAATAAACGCAATTTTCCATGTTTCTGCAGAGATTTCATATCCCTGCATATCTGATCTGGACCCTATAACCATGACAAAGAATCCTAACAATTCTGCTCTTTGTCACCTCACTTTTACAACCCATTTTTGCAAAGAACTAATCAGTAATCCCTTGTGAAGATACAATGCCAAGATTTTACAGCAACGTCCTTACCCACTTCGTCATAGCACTTGTCACACCAGTCACGGCCGAAAACAAAGTCACATCTTTCCCCATGCCGCATGATGAAAAGCTTCCTGGGACTCTTGTTCTGGGCTGCAGCATCCTTCTGCTTCTTGTTCTTGATCACCTGCACACAAGGAGTGAGTCCACTAATGCTGCTTTAAACACACTGTATCACTCAGTCATATCATGGTTAGATCTGGGCATTGCTCAGAATATTCATACATTCATTCAATACCCTTTGTTAAAAATTACCCTACAAAACACTACAAGATAATGTTTAAGAAAATAAAAAAAAGTGGTTCTCAGGCAATGGCTTTTGAAAAATAGTGCAGGCAGGCTCACTGTTTTATTTTTTGGGGATGTCCTAAACCAAACAACCTGAGAAAGGGCTTCCCTACATAAATGTATTCCTTGATAAGTAAAATACTGACAAATTTGTACAATGTGAAGCAGCTTGAAGTGGTCACCATGCTAACTCTTCAGACAGGAAGGCCCAACTTTTGTTCTTTTGTCAATCACAGAACTCAACTTGTTTGCATCTTCATGTTATCCAATGTACACCATCAAGAGCACACACCATGTTTACAAACCAGTCAACCAGCTTTGTGTGTTTTCATAGACAATGCATACATGTTTTCATGGTCACCTTTGCCAGCTTTTTAAATATCAAGAGAAATAAATTTCTTGATACAATTTTACAATCTCACAATATTTGACAACCATTTGACGTCTGGTGTGTGCAAAATACATGTACACAATGAGCTATGATTTTGTTTCACAACGTGAAGGCAATACAGGGGTGCCTGAGAACCAAGACTATTTTCTGTTAGCCAAAGTGAGGTTTGACATGTCATGTTATTAAGGCTGACATGAGGAAACAGATCAAATTTAGTGAAGCATAAACATTATTTATGACAACAGATGGACAAACCTTTCAAATTATAGACATCAAATTAGTGTCCAATTTTTTATGAATTGCTCACTCCCTTGTCACTGTCTGGCAGCTAATGTGGGACTAAATGCAAAGTGACACAAGTCAGATACGTTTTCCACTTCCGTGAAACCCAGGAGATGGATCAAAAACAGAGCGAATCTTGCAGCTACAAGTACCATAACTAAGGGGGGGAACTCAATGAGGACCAAGGTATCCAAACCCTCATTACCCCTAAACAGGTATCCACAGTAAGTCTCAGGAGTTGGGTACAAAATGTCTGATTGGGAATTGTTTTACTGGAGCCCTGACAAAAACTATTTAGATTCATGTATAAGGACCAGTGAGCAACCCACCCACCCACCCCAATGTTGCTGGAGTGAGTGAGTGAGTGAGTGAGTGAGTGAGTGAGTGAGTGAGTGAGTGAGTGAGTGAGTGAGTGAGTGAGTGAGCGAGCGAGCAAGGGTTCTCTGACACCCTCAGCAATATTCCAGCTACATAGCGGCAAGGGGATATATAAAATGGGCGTCAGCCTTCACACATTGTATTCATGTGGGAAACTGAACCCAGAGACAGTAAAATTATTCACAGAGCCTGATATCAGAATTAGGTTGTCCCACTTTTATCAAAGAAATAGAAAAGCCACATAGATGTATGTAAATAAGCATCACCCACCTTGGCGTACATGTCTTCATTCTTTTCTTCTTGCCAGAGATTGTCATAGTCCCCCTCGACTGAACCGTTTGTTGTCACTCCCGATGCTGTCTGACCACTCTTTGGATGATATTCATGCAAAGGCAATGACCTTGAAACAATCATCATGAAATGTTTTTTCTACAAAGTTTAGACATGAAGAAAATATTCATACCTGAATACCTATAATCAGGGGTCCGGAAACCGTCATATGCGCCGGACATGTCTGATTGGGAATCTCAAATGTCCGGTTTAAAATATTGCTTACCGGACATTTAAATTTTTCTGTCCGGACATTTTCAAAAGTATTGTCCGGACATTCTTAAATTTTGACCGGACATGATCAACAGTTAAGACTGAGCAGTGTCTGTCTGCAGTTGTAACACAATGAAGATTATCTACACTGACAAGCTTTGTTTGTTTTGATTGCTGTAAATACATCGTACCTACATGATAGTCCAACCAGTCAATTACTGTAATAGGCAATAAACTGAGTTGACACTGATTAATCGAGGATTAATTACTGAGAACATCTTGTTAATTTGAGTGAAAGGTGTTTACAACTGTACATAAATACCTTGCATCATTGATCATTGCATCATCTTGTTTTTAAATAATCTTTAGTTTAAAAAAAAAATTTCCCGTGAGGTCACATGATAACCAAATATGGGATAATAGTCTCGATCCAAATGTTACAACGTGTACACTTGAGCAGACTCATGAATATAACTCATGAATATTAATTAGACCATTCACTACGTTAACAGATCGTTATTATAACAGAAACAAACGTATGTTTTCGAAGTATATCTAAAATAATATTATTTGTTATTAATTGTCCGGTGAATTAAACAATTTAAATTGAAACAATTCATAATTCATCATATTATGAATACGTAACAACTTGTAATGTGTGTGTGAAAAGTCATCTTACAATACGCTATTTGAAGGGGGCGTGGCCTAAATTCAAATGTCCGATTGGGATTTTAAATTTTCCGGACCCCTGCCTATAATCCTAATGTTTTCCAACAGAGAGAAAACAGTTCCAAGATTCTGCACACCCCAACACCCCTAGATTTCTCTGGGAACTTTTAAAGGCCATAATAAAATAGTTACCAGCTTCTCCTCCCCGTCCGACTTTCTCAAAACCTTCCGCCTCAGAACATTATATTCTGAGTCTTTGTCATGATCAATTCATCGCCCATGAAACTAAAAGCTGACTTGTTTACGACTTTGAACATTCACAACAGCCTAACCATTAACATTTCTTTTAGTATTATGCTCAATCAAAAACTAAATCGTACTAATATGACTGTCAGGACACCATAGCTGGGTTCTTCTGTGCAAAGTTTCAGCTACACAGGAGTTGAGGTTTTCAGAGGAGATTACTTTAACTGAACTTCAACCAGTATACCAAACAGGAGAGATGTAAATGTCTAACCGATGCAGTGTCCACGTCCATGTTTCGGCTGTGCGTGTCGTGAACACCCCCGGGAACATTCCAGTGTTCCCGGTCAGCCAGGAAGTGCCTTTGAACCATCCATCCTTACTGCGACTTACTTCCTCAGGGTCCATGAACACAAAGTCCTGATCGATGAGTTCCAGCTCATCAGTTAACAGAGGGGCATATGCCTTCAACACCTTGCGTACCTGCACAACACAGAAACTACAATCAGGTACTGAAGCTAGTTGCACACACAACTGTATATAGTCTGATTGCACTCACACAATGGCACAAACTGATTGCACTTACACAGGTATAGAAACTGATTGCACTTACACAGGTATAGAAACTGATTGCACTCACACAGGTATAGAAACTGATTGCACTTACACAGGTACAGAAACTGATTGCACTCACACAGGTATAGAAACTGATTGCACTTACACATGTATAGAAACTGATTGCACTCACACAGGTATAGAAACTGATTGCACTTACACAGGTATAGAAACTGATTGCACTCACACAGGTATAGAAACTGATTGCACTCACACAGGTATAGAAACTGATTGCACTTACACAGGTATAGAAACTGATTGCACTCACACAGGTATAGAAACTGATTGCACTTACACAGGTATAGAAACTGATTGCACTCACACAGGTATAGAAACTGATTGCACTTACACAGGTACAGAAACTGATTGCACTCACACAGGTATAGAAACTGATTGCACTTACACATGTATAGAAACTGATTGCACTCACACAGGTATAGAAACTGATTGCACTTACACAGGTATAGAAACTGATTGCACTCACACAGGTATAGAAACTGATTGCACTCACACAGGTACAGAAACTGATTGCACTTACACAGGTATAGAAACTGATTGCACTCACACAGGTATAGAAACTGATTGCACTTACACAGGTATAGAAACTGATTGCACTCACACAGGTATAGAAACTGATTGCACTCACAAAGGTATAGAAACTGATTGCACTTACACAGGTATAGAAACTGATTGCACTCACACAGGTATAGAAACTGATTGCACTCACAAAGGTATAGAAACTGATTGCACTTACACAGGTATAGAAACTGATTGCACTCACACAGGTATAGAAACTGATTGCACTCACACAGGTATAGAAACTGGTTGCACTTACACAGGTATAGAAACTGATTACACTCCCAGTTAAATAGAAACTGAGTGCACTCACACTCATGGGACATTCCCTCTCCCTTGTGTTTACATTTTCAACCCAAACCTCATAGGTGTGTTTTATCCTGTCCACATAATTCTGTTAATAATTGAAGCATACATCACAAAGTAAATCTCCTTAGATAATATAGTAGATCAAGAATATGACATGTATTTCAAATTATGAAATGACATTTGGTGATATCAATTCATACATAGCGAGAATATTCTTTACATCCCATTTTGTTTTTCAACCAGATTGTGGCACACTTGGTTTACAATAGATGAAACCTACAATTCCTCACCTCGCTCTGTCCAACTCTCGGGTCTCGAGAGTACAAGCGGACATCCCACCGCGCTGCTGCTGACAGGTTCATTTCCTTGGCCTTCTTCAGCAGGACTTCGTGGTTCTCATCCTGGTACTGGTAGGACAGAGACAGATGCAGCTGCTTCTTGTTCTCCCCCACCACGATGCCTGCACACACACACACAGCACACACATAATAGGCCACTGACAAGGTGCCACACCACAGAGTGGCATGCATAAAGCTCATTATATATTACATCAATCGGTATTAATAGATCAGTGAACATTTGATTCTTATCTCCCTGAACTGTATACAACCCAAGCTGCCCGTTGGCATAGTTACATATTACAAGTTTACATACACATTTCACTCTTTTCCTAAACGTTATTTATTGAATGCTCAGTGTATGAATATATATTTATTGCTAAAACATTAAAAACATTCTCAGTAGTAAAACACTTTCACAATAGTTTCACATATTGTGTTTCCTGGTTCTTTATTGAGAGTTGGTTAATGTTATTTCCTGCCATGATCAGTAATATCCCAGCCATATGACCGTAGCTGTAATAATAGTAATACATGCAGTTATACATCACAAAAATAAACCTCTTTGGCTTTAGCAACTGTAAGACAGTTGAAACAAATGTCTCCAGCTGAGCTTTTAAAGAGGAAATAGTGGGAGCACATTTCAGATTTTCCCAGCAGATTGTTCCCCAGATGCTGCCATCTACCTACTGGTCCATAACAAATGTCACCAGTCTCTTGACTTTTACTAGTTTCAAAACCTGAAATATCAAGTTTGGACTAGACAAAACACGCCATGAGGGTATGACGACAAATAATCAGCCAGGTCATACATTGTAACAACATAACCCTCTGCTCTTACAACAAGCATAGGGTACTGGGCAAATTCCGGCCTGGGGTCTCTGCAGCAGCACAACGGAACAAAGCCTTACCAGCCTTTCTGACTTCCTCGGAGAACTGGGTGACAACATCTTGTAGATACTGGAAGTAGGGCTCACTGACAAACAGGCCTATAAAACTCTTCTGTGCAAAGAAGTCCAGTGTAAGTTTTCCTGGAGCTTTGTTCAGTTTGTCTTCCAGTCGAGACAGACATTTGGTGAGATAGGACACCTTGTTATCTTCAGCCTACCAGAAGTGGAAAACAATCACCAACATTAAAGACGATGATAAAAAATAACTGATAAAAGTGACAGGCATGTACTCTTTTTTCTGAGACTTGTTGAACACCACATTCAGCTATACTGAAGCAATATGTAGGTGGCCTAGACAAGCCTGGACAAAACAATCCAGAAATTCCAGTGATTCATATTACCATGATTATGATATAATGATATCATGTATCTCCTCCTTTGACAAGCACAGGTTACAATGGTTTCTGGGTTTTTTGTCATCACCTATACACTGTACATTTCTAATTACACAGTACCTTGAAGATGTTGGTGAGGCAAATTATCACATACCTTGAACATGTTGGTGAGGGTTACATAAGGCAAGTTATCACATACCTTGAACATGTTGGTGAGGGTTACATATGGCAAGTTATCACATACCTTGAACATGTTGGTGAGGGTTACATAAGGCAAGTTATCACATACCTTGAACATGTTGGTGAGGGTTACATAAGGCAAGTTATCACATACCTTGAACATGTTGGTGAGGGTTACATAAGGCAAGTTATCACATACCTTGAACATGTTGGTGAGGGTTACATAAGGCAAGTTATCACATACCATATTTTCTTGAGTATAGTGCGCACCCATGTATAATGCGCACCCCCCTCTAGCGGGTTCAATATTTTGGAAAAAAAGAAATTTGAATATTATGCGCAGAAAATTTTTCCACCGTACCCTTTCAGCAAAGTCCGGCAAACGAACGGGTGCTGAGAAACTTCGTCAGTACAAATTCGAAATTTGAGATAAAAAATCACCAGACATGTTTATTTACCGTTTAAATAGTATTTATTGTTCTGCTAGGCATTGTTTTATATTTAGGGATTAAGATTACCTTGCATATTTTCTCGTAAACTAAGCTGGAAACAGCAATCAGCTGTACACACGTTTTCTTGGTATCGACCGGTGATTTGGTCAAGACACACCCAATGATATAACTTTATAAGATTTTTAATGCAAGGATCGGCAACAATTGTATCTGAAACTATTTTATTTATCAGGAATAATATATTCCATTTTTTTCTTAATTATATGCAACCTTTATTAAACATATTTAAAATAATAATAACCCTAAGAGAAGCAGCTGATCGCTATTCCCGGGTATTATTTTTTACATGGAACATGTCTGACCAGTCACCGTCAAGGCTCACGCGCACGTCATCACGTGATTGCGAGAATTTCATGTTGACATAGAATCGTCAAACAAAAACAAATATGACTTTTAACGAGTCAAAGTCTGTCATTTATGATATATGTATCCATTCTCTGTCAACTAAAGTTTGTTTCAAGGCGTCAATAGCGGTATTCTGACCGTGGTTGCTGTTAATAACGGTGAGTTGTGCGATCTTCCGATCGCTTCACAGACGATTTCGCCGAAATTAATAAAAACAATATTATAAGGAATTTTGAATAAAATCAATGAAATAAGTTACAAACATAAGTCCAGATATACAAAGAACACTTTTTATAGCCAGACAGTGTAATTACATAATTATTTTGCGTACTTCAGTATGGATTTGTTGACATGGTATTCCCGGTGTTTCGTGTTCACGGTAATGTCTTTCCATGGGGGAAAAAAACATCCAAACTCATAATTCGTGTATAATGCGCACCCCCTTCTACACAGCTGTGTTTTTTCGAAAAAAAGTGCGCACTATACTCAAGAAAATACGGTACCTTGAACATGTTGGTGAGGGTTACATAAGGCAAGTTATCACATACCTTGAACATGTTGGTGAGGGTTACATAAGGCAAGTTATCACATACTTTGAACATGTTGGTGAGGGCTACATAAGGCAAGTTATCACATACCTTGAACATGTTGGTGAGGGTTACATAAGGCAAATCATCACATACCTTGAACATGTTGGTGAGGGTTACATAAGGCAAGTTATCACATACCTTGAACATGTTGGTGAGGGTTACATAAGGCAAGTTATCACATACCTTGAACATGTTGGTGAGGGTTACATAAGGCAAGTTATCACATACCTTGAACATGTTGGTGAGGGTTACATAAGGCAAGTTATCACATACCTTGAACATGTTGGTGAGGGTTACATAAGGCAAGTTATCACATACCTTGAACATGTTGTTGAGGGCTACATAAGGCAAGTTATCACATACCTTGAACATGTTGGTGAGGGTTACATAAGGCAAGTTATCACATACCTTGAACATGTTGGTGAGGGTTACATAAGGCAAGTTATCACATACCTTGAACATGTTGGTGAGGGTTACATAAGGCAAGTTATCACATACCTTGAACATGTTGGTGAGGGTTACATAAGGCAAGTTATCACATACCTTGAACATGTTGGTGAGGGTTACATAAGGCAAGTTATCACATACCTTGAACATGTTGGTGAGGGTTACATAGGGCAAGTTATCACATACCTTGAACATGTTGGTGAGGGTTATATGAGGGAAGTAGGCATGCGCTCCATTCCATCCTGTTGTAGAAAGGGACTTCTCCCAGAAGTTGGAGAGCTCATGCTGCAGCAGACCAACGGGGCACAGATAGAGGACATACTCTCGGGGAATATTCTGGTCCAGAGTAACATCATTCACGTGAGACAATAACCTGTACAAGGAATGCAAAATGTGATGACAGACATATTTCTTCTTGGATAGAAATGTAACTACATTTATGAACTTAAACACCATGGTCACTAGGAAGATACATTTGTAGTTCAAATAAAATAAATACATCACTCTTTACAACACAATCAGTGAGATCAAATATAAATATGTTTAGATACCATATACTGCAAACAAGACCAAAAGCATTTCAAGATTTGAAAAACGAGTGAAAAGGGGTAATGTTTCACAATCCTAGGGAAAATTTAGCTATGACCCAAGTCTCCATTTGTCTTAATATATGTAAAACTGGGGGTAAAAAAACACACATAATACTTCCACATCAAAAAAGCCAAAAGTTGAAAAATATAAAGATCCATGTGATTTAACAATATTAACCTACATGACTGTTTGTTATCTAACACTGCACTCAGCAATATTCCAGCTAAATGATGGCAGTCTGTAAATAATCAAGTCTGGACGAGACAATCTAGTGACTGACATCATGAGCAATAATATCTACAATTGGGATACCTGTGTATTCAGATAAATGGATTACATTGCTCCATACCCTCGCTGAATCAGTGAAGTTACATCCATGTTGGCAGGCTCAGCAGAATATACATGTAGTCCATCCAATAAGCAAAGGAGTACTTGAGAATACATAGTGGCTACATCTCTCATTTAGAGCGCTGCCCTCATACTTAAAAGAGGTCTTGTTCTACTGAATCAATACATCCAAGCTTTCAGGACTCCTAAATTTGTAACTTTTACGCTGACCATCACTTTTAGACTTTACACTTAATGCTTGTCATAAGAAGCGACTAACGGGATCGGGCTGTCAAGCTCGCTGATATAATTGATGCTTGTCATCATATCCCAATTAATTGGATCTATGCTCATGATGTCTATCACTGGATTGTCTGGTCCAGGCTCAAATTATTTACAGACCATCATCATACAGCTGGAATATTGCTGACTGCAACAAACTATATCACATCTCACAAGAAGCATTATAATGTATTTAGTACCTGTTCTACAGGGGAATTTCTACAAAATTAGGCAATATTGAATGTGTAGAAGTAATATCACCATGGGAAAGCAAAGATAAAGGCTTTGCACACTGAAAGGGATCCAACCTAACCAATTGAACACTGACTTGCTACTCCTGATCACTAAAAGTATTTCTGAACTATCAACAGTCTCTTGAAATTCATCAAGCCGTGTCTTACCATACTCGTTTGGAGTCGGTTCAATTCACGAAATTCACAATCAATTTCTTTGTTTCACAGTGAAATAAATTAATTTATACACAGAAACTTGATAAATTTATCAGGTCTTGGTTAAGTATTTCATTGCCGTGACTACATGATTAAAATCTGAAATTCTGTCCTGATACATGTACATGTTATTGACTACTGTAACACAGGAAAAATGTGCAAATGATAACAGGCATTCATGTGATAATTCCCTTCAGACACTAGCCAGGAATATCCTGGTGCAACTTCCGTGCAGTGAACTCACCAGTCTGACGCCAGCTGCACTCCCCGGTCCCCTGTTGCTGCAAGGGCCTTTTCCCTGAACATAGATAAATGTAGAAATGACCAGGGATTTATCTGTGATGGCACAATGCACCTGGTTATCACAAGTGAAAAGTCTCGAATTGGAACTTCCCAACTCATGTCACAATAGTCCTGAAAGTTTTATTTTAACAATTTCAGTTTTTCAAAGGTTACTTGTAGTTTATAAGGACAATTCCCCACATCTTGTATTAAAAGGTACGTAGATAGAATTTACAAAATACAAGTGGCTATATCATGCATATCATATATATTTTAGTTTCGATGTTTGCTTGATTTCAACATCTACTTATCAACAATAGGCACATACATAGTGCACTGTTAGGAGAAGGTTTGGGGGGATGAGATCCTCCAGAGAAGTAATACTCTAACAATTGTTGTTTATTATACAGAGTTTTTTTTGTGATACAATGTAGTAAGCATTCATAACAAATTTCCTCTCCCAATCATTACTTAATGTTCATTCATTTCCAATGTGTACAATTTCCTCTGTTTACTTTAATATAAAAAAAACCCATAAGCCCTTTTTTGAATGCTCCTATAATAAAGTACTAAAAAAACAAACCCTCCAGTCACATTATGAGCAGGTTATTGTTGGGTGTGAGGAATTGTCCGGACCCATATTCCCCTGCTATCCATGATAACAGGACCACCAATAAACATTATAAAGAGAAAAAGGTTTCAGTGCTTAGTTCTACCTTACTGCTTTGAATGCAATGCTTACCTACCTGAAACATTCAGAAGACATAGACCTTGAAACATGTACAAATGAAGTAAAATATCACAAAACATTTTGGCCAATTCACTTGCCACCGGTACTTGGATCAGTTGGAAGTGTTAGATAAAGCACACAGAAATACATGATGTTAATGATCACATGGCCAGGCATTTATCCAGTAAGTGCTTCTGGCAGGTAAATGGGGAAAAACCCAGCACAAAGCCATACATTAGTCATATATACATTAATATGAATTGGGAAATATTTAATACAAGTTTGCTGCAGACTTGGGTCCAAATATCAACCTCTGAGCACTGCTGAGCAGGTCTAAATAAACCCTTGATATCTGTTATATATACTGTCAGGGTTTAATGCATATGTTTCAGAATCAGTGAACTGTTCCCTTAAACTATCATCTTGTAAACATGTTAAAGAGATTGCATCATAAAAAAGACCCGAATTTAGGGCTTTAGTATACGACACTAGACTACATTTATTTTTAACCACTGTATTATTACATTGAGACTTAAGTCCTTAAGGGATGTCAGTTACACACAGACATAATATATATGATCAGGATAAACAAATATAGATGGCATTCATATCTAACATTGATGATAAATTAAATTCTAATGATTACAGCCTAGAGGAAACCACGACTGTAAGAAGAAGAAGAAGAAGATCATAATTTCTTGTTTCAGTCTTTCAGAGAAACAATTTGAATGTCATCAGTCAGAAGATTTTTGAAATTTCTTTTGAAAAAATCCTTTAATATTCCACGTCTAATAGTAGTCAAATTATCTTTTCCAGTATTTTACTCATCAAGGAAAACATTTATGTAGGGAGGCTCTTTTCCAGGTAGATTGTACACATTGTTTATTTGGTTACACCACTGTTTATTTGGTTACATACTTGTACGAAAAACGGGGAAAAAAGACTTCACCCACCCGCACTATATAAGTATATTTTCAAACACCATTGCCTGAGAATCAATTTACAAAAAAAATTTAAGCCTAATATATTTATTGGTTCTTGGATCTATTTGTGAAATATCATGATAGGCATTGAAGATTGGGAAAGAAAATCTTCTTAAGCGGATCTTCTGAAACTGTTGCCTTGTGTACAGCGCTCGACACAGCATATTGCATGCATGTTTGGGCAGTCGGCACATCCGTTCATTCAACAAAAGAAGAAGATTAAAGTGTTTATCAATATATTTGGGCCACTTCTAAATTTTAGGGATTGACGGATCCATTAAACAAATTTCATAAAAAATAATCTCCTGAGAACATGAAACATATTTTAGTGTTTGAAATTAAGGAGGTCCTGGAGTCCATGACGTTTGCTCCTGTAATATTTGAATTTAGGGATCACCTCTACCTTTAAACAATAGTAGAGTTAGGACAAGGACCCCATGATTTTCATGCTTAAGTTTGACTCCCTTGACTTTAAAAATATGTATGGCTAACTTCATTTTAATTTGCACTGTAGCAATGTTCCAGGGAATGGTTTTGTGCCACTTATCAACAAACGAACATGAAAGAAGCCAGTTACTATGCGCAGTGCTTGGGTTGTCGGCTTTGCTCTGCGGCACCGACAAGTTTGGGTTTGAGAAATGAATTGTGGAACGAAATGTATGAATTCACACATAGAAATTATTTCATGCATGATTTAAAAACCTCCAGACCCTTCTATGTACTGCCCTTTTAATGTGAAATTGAAATTAATGCAAGACATGCTAGTTAGTTTTGCTCGCATTAATTAAACTTCGTATTTATCAGGGGTAAAAAATAATTTCAGTCCCTAGTGAGTCAGGACTTATTAACCTATTTCTTCATGAGACAAAACTGATTTTAAGCAAGTCCAGTTCCATAGATGACAGGTCCAAAATAAAACTGCAACACAAGAACCGAATCACTCGTAATCCCCAAACAAAACAAACTTATTTGACAGCCAAAAATACTAGACACAGTTGGGTAATACAAAAACTATTATGCGTGGACAAACATGACAAATAACACACTGTTACAAATTATTCTTCACAAAAACGCAATTATCATGATCCCCAATCAAAAAGATGATTGTTTTAAATATGATGTTAAATAAACCACACATATTTTAAACTTTCATATAGAAAAACATATTTTGATTTTAATATATACATGATATAATATGTAATCATTCCTGTTGACAAACATGACAAACGACACCCTGTTATAAATTATTCTTCACCATAACACAGTTATCATGATCGCCAATCAAAAAGCTAATTCTTTTAACATATTTACGTAGAATGTTAAATAAACTACACAAATGTCGACTTGCATGTTGAATAACATATTTTCATTTGATTTTATGATACATAATCATTCCACATTACATTCACACTTTTTTATCATGACATATGCAACCTCACTGACAATTGGTGATTGGCTAACTAAGTAATAGTGTGTGACTTCAGTTCAAATATGATGTTGTGACAACATGGTTGTATCGAGACGACAAGCCCCATCGGTTAGTTAAATATAGAAACTATGTGCTAATGTTGTAAACAATAAATATAAAGAAGCAAGATTGTCCACAATTTTTTATAGTGTAAGCTTGGCCATGGAAACACACACATCATCAAAATAAGATGGTAAGTCATTGGACTTTAACCCATATCTTTCTAATTTTGATGCGTCTGGGACATTGGAATAACAAAAAAAATTAGCCCGGATTTACATGATTTATGTCTCAAAATTTACTGTTCACATAGGGATGCATTTATATTTAAGAAATAAGTCATTCAAACACATATGGTGTCTCGCGACTTTAGTCTTCGGACACTTACGAATGATCCTGATGCCTTTTGGCACACTCGTCCCATTTATGCGATATGCCGCGAACTGAAAACAGCTCCAGACGTCAGACGTCAAACTCACGAGTATGCATGAATAACATGGTTTTTAATAATTCGTTGGGTGACTTTTGTGACAGAAAAGTGGAAGGGAATACTGTAAGGATGATGTGGATTATAGTAAGGAATGAGGGAGGCATAAGCATGGCTAGTGACGACACAACGGTGAGTTCGCTTTTGAATCAGTACTGAAAAAATGTAGCCGGTGAAAGTGGCTTGTGTGAATGTTCCAGGACAGTTTCCAGTAGCCAAAGTATTCGACACAAAACCATTTCATCCGTTTTACTCGACGTTTTTGTGTGAAGAATATTAGGAGCCGATATAGACTCTATAATAGCCACTTAACGGGTACCTTACCCTAATGATCGTAAAGGGGAACCAAGGGCTAAGGGTAGAGTTCAGGTAATCTAATAGCCACTAAACGGGTACTTAACCCCAATGATTGTAAAGGGGTGATTGATCGTAAAAGGGATCCAAGGGTTAAGGATAGAGTTCGGGTAATCTAATAGCCACTAAACGGGAACCCAACCCTAATGATCGTAAAGGGGTGATTGATCCTAAAGGGGTGATTGATCATAAAAGGGATCCAAGGGCTAAGGATAGAGTTCGGGTAATCTAATAGCCACTAAATGGGAACCCAACCCTAATGATCGTAAAGGGGTGATTGATCGTAAAGGGATCCAAGGGCTAAGGATAGAGTTCAGGGTAACCTACCCTTTCACTGTCGACATTTGGATGTGTTCAGCGCCAATATAATATCCCTAATTAACTGCATTCTTGTGCATGACAATTAATGAGCCAAAAAAATAATATATGTATATTAGTTCCCATTTATAACCATTTTAGCCACTTGAATTACAAAAAAAAAGGAAATAAAAAATATATAAAAAATAAAAGAGCTTTCATAAACTAGCGCTTGCTATAAAATGCGCCGCCGCAGGCTATATTTAGTAAACAAATATTTTAAAACTCAACACCGCTGGGCGTATTCAATGACAATGTGTATAGAGATGATAGATCACTGGGAGGAGCTTATGCATACTTGACTACACCTGACATCACAGGGCATTGTTTCGCCGATGTGACTGGCAACAAAATACTACAAATATTAGGGTATTGTCACATGTTTGAAAAGTTTGTGGTACGGTATTCTAAAGGTAGGCCGAATAATATGTAGTGGACATCCATTGAGTTCTTTTTAAGGACGTACTTTCCTCAGCACTAACAAGCATTAAAATTTGATTAAATACCTCTCTGGTCAACCTTATGAAAGTGATTTTCTTTCTCTAAAATTCTACTGGGGTTGCATGGCAGTTTTTTGGGAAGATGTAAGCGGTCGCATTATTATTTTAGAAGAGTATTAAATGATTCATTTCAAGATTTACAGTATACCAATTGGGTGACATCTATCAGACCTCATATGTATGATATTATCCAGTTCTTATCTGCCTGAAGTCATCATTACTATCTTAAGATTCTTAAACATTACAGTTGGACTATACTGTAAGTGTCAAGGATCCTATTTGCCTTTCTAATGTCAGTATACAAGATACAATCCACATCCGCGCGATCACGGCACCCCGGCACTTTTAGCGAATGTGTGCCCACTCATATGTAAGTATCCCATTCATAAACCCGGAAGTAGTCTGTAACAACACTCAATACAGTTTGACATTTGTCACGATTTCGTGAGTCACTAACTTTTCATGTTAGAATCACCGAACAATCTCGATAACAACTTGTCAAAGAAATGTCACTCACTAAAAACATCAAATTCAATAAAACACTTACGCCCTTTGTTTTGTAAAACCCATTTGTATCAGGGTATCGAGAGACGGTCGGTCTTTCTGAGTTTTCTGGTGATCATTTCTCAAAATACGAGGAGGAAGAGCAGAAGCCATTTTGACATACAAAACATTGATTATAGTATGCTTACAACTTACTCACACTCTGTACATCTAGTTTAAGACTACAAAGACAGTTCTATATATACGCAAAGACATAATGAAAAAAATCATATTATACTATAAGAATAATGAATAACTTAAGCATAATGCCTTTTGAATTGATAATTTCTGAAAATAATTCATTAACAGTCGACTATTGATAGTAGTTGTCTAAGATCTATTACCTACTAGTTAACACACAAGCTCCATCTCAGCCCGTGCTACTTTCGCCTTTTATTATTGAAACAAGGAACGGCCGAATTATCGCTGCTAGGAGCTTTAGACAAGAACGATAATTCCAGTGTACCGGAACTTTATAGTCCCGGAACATGCCGAATGGCGTCTTGCAAGTTACGGAAAGAAGCGAGCGGTGACGAATGATTTCTAACAAGTATTGTGATTGGTTGAAAGAGCACAGGGAGCCATTTTCAAAACAGTTTATCAACAAAATCGTGTAAGAAACATGTTGTCAGATCATTTTTCGTCATATAGTTGTTTTTAACCAGCGCATGTACATAGATGAACGTTGAATGTGAGTTACATATACTTAACGCGTTTAAAAACATAGCCTAAACGGTCAGCCCCAGTAGCCTGCGCCTATAAACAAGAAAATTGGAAACTGAAATTCGGATTTAGTGATTGTTTTGACGTCACCATATAGGCCTAGGCCTACTATGATATAGCCTCGGCTAACCTGGGCCTAAGTTACGAAGACAGTTATCAGTGGTTATTTCACTGATACATGATCATGATGATAGTATTGATACATTAAGTTTTGATATGACTATTGTATGTACCCATTGCATCGTAGGTTGGCATATCAAATGATACATACAATTTTCAGTGCATGCAGTAGTGTTTGGCACCATGACTAGCAGAATATGATCATGTTTGATCATTTTCCTCCAATAATTTTCTTAAGACCAATAATATTTTTGGTACATTAAACTTTCAACCATGTATTCAGTATCATGATACATATATACTATGACCTTTCTATATTATACATGTGTCAGGAACCATATGGTCTCGGGTTGTGTGTTCCAACCTTGACATGGGGGTCCCATACTGGCGAAATGTGGCACACTTCACAGGCTTGGTGGGGAACATTGATTATCTATGCACAAATCATTGGAACAATCAGCACGATCAGTTGAACATTGTTAATTTACTTTTTAGAGAAATAATGGACAAGAAACAGACCAAAGTGAAAGTTGTGATTCGTGTTCGTCCGTCTTTAAAAGAAGATGCTAAGATGTGTGTGAGTGCAGGTACAGACTCGGTGGAAATATTCAACCATAGAAACATCAAAGAGAACATCAAATATGAGTAAGTTTTTTTTTGCTATCAAACATTGAGTCAGCTCTCATGATAAGCATGAGACTTGAGATCTTTACTGCCACAGGGTGTAACATGGTAAGGTAAAAGCAGGCTGATGAAGTTTAGTAGGTCATTTATCATTGTTGTGAATACATTGTACAAACATGATTATTGAACGATGTTTATTAGCATATAATTTTTTAATTTGAAGTTTACACGATATACAGCTTTTCCATTGGACTAGATGTGGGTCACATGACCGAGAAATTGACTATAATGAGTGTATGAACAACACAAATTTGAAATGACATAAACACTGACAGACTACTTCCTCCCTCCTAGGGGATCCCTGGGAATTCCCTAGCCCCAATGCATACAGAATAATTTTTTTCCAATCCTTTAGATCCTGTAATTTTCAACTCAGCTTTTTAGTATTCATCGAGAAAGTCTGAGAGTTTGACTGCATGATCGTTCATGAATATCCTCACTACGACACATCCCAGTGAATAACACAAAGAAATACACATCCAAACTGTCGTAGTATCAACTCGATCCGTGTCTAGGCTGACAGTAATGGTCTACAGCAATCTATGAATTTATCTTAGCATCTATTTGACACATCTTTAATCACCTTTCAATAATCGGATAATTGATCAATGATAACTAAAACAGGTTCATTAACAACTTCTCAAATCCCTCCCGTTATGTTTATCATGTTGGTCATTTTGACATCTTGAACTTGATGTAACTAAGTGTATTATGATGCGCTGTCATTGTAACTGAGTAACTGAGGTAGTTCTTAACAGACTTTTCTAATCTAATGGTGATATTATTTGAATACATGCGTTGTGTCAGATGTTTCTGAAGAGCAAGTTGTGCATACATGCGCTCATGTCGCCTTTCTTTTTGAGGAATTATTTTATTCCACGATACAGCGGATGTTGCATGGCTGTCAGTGCAAATATGAAGTCACACATACTAAATAAAACAGTGTATAGATCTAGGCCTATATCCTCTGAGGTAAAACATTGTCGCAAGCTCCGACGTTCATACAGTTTGGCCCTCTATGAAGGTTCATACTCCAATGAACTCACACAAAGTGACAGTCAATTCTTAAATATTTGCTCCCTTTCCTATGGTTTAACCATGATCAAGGTAGCTATCAAGCAATGAATATATTTAGGCTTCCAAAGTGCCCTTTGGGAAAATCACTATTTTGTTCAAAATTGGGAATATATGTTTTCATTACTTATTTTCAGAAACTTAAGAGGTATTTTAACAATTTATAACATGGCATAATATTGCATTCAATGTAATAATGTTAACTATACCTAAAAACCTCTTCCACTTTACTACCATGTTTACTGGGATTGCTGTCACTGATATACAAGTCAGCTCTACTAAACCATAACAAGCTAAGGGATTTTTCATATTCCAATTTTGGAATTTACTGACTTTAGCTGCAGACTTGGGAGCAAATAGGCCTCTGAGCAGGTCTAGACAGATCCCTGCAAACAGACGACATAGCTGTAAGAAAGTTTTGGTGTAAGCCTTTCGTAAAAAAACACAGGGCAGATCAATATGTACGTTTACTCAATTAATAGTTAGTTTTGCAGGAGATATTCAATGAAGATGTTGTACAGCTGACGTGTGCAGAAAGGGAATTCCATTGTGACATGCTACATATGTTAAGGAAATCAGTGTGCCAGTTCCCTCAAAATGCTTAATGAGTCTTCAACTTTTCCTGAAAGACAGTCAATATATGTGATTGGTTAAGCTTGTAACATAACTGTACATGGTATTACTTGTATTCCAACTGTGAAATCTGATGGGTGGATGTGGCTTTTGAGTTCAATTTATCATTTGTGAACATTTACTTGCTGTATGTATTATCTGACTATCATGATTAACTATGTCATATTTATCCTTCATCTTCCCGAGGCAAGAGAGTTAACTGACTTTAAAAGTCCAGCTTCCACCCTTGCCGAACTGGGCTGGAATTCCTGGGCTCGATTGTAGCGCCACCAGTGGCTATTACCAGTTATGTCCCTTCCAAGTCTCTCCTATGGACCAATCAGATTCCACCTCTTGTATAACTTGCGTTTGCTTCACACAAAATGGTGGCGCCCAGTCAGGACAATCTAATCGATAATCAACATCTATATTGTGATAAAACGGGTCATACATTGCGAAATGCATCAAATCACGTGAGCACCTTGATTAAAGACATGAAAAGATTTGGAAAATATCTGCTGACAATGAGTTGGCGGTGCACATGCTTTGCAAATCCTGCAATCCACAAAAACCGGATTTCGATTTCGGTGCGCAATTTTGATTGGACTATGCATAGACTCGTTAGTCCAGCCAAAATGTAACTCCATAATACCAGCCTACTTCGTCAAGGGTGGAAACAGGACTTTTATAGTCAGTTAACTCACTTGCCTCGGGAAGATGATTTATCCTTATGCTTATGGTGGTTTGTTTTGTTTGTTTCCAGTTTTTCCAGTGTATACGATTCATCCAGCTCCCAACAGCTCATATACAATGAATGCATAAAGAATCTACTCCATCGCAGCTTAGATGGGGAGAATGTTTCAATATTTGCATATGGTCCAACAGGGGCAGGTAACTCAGTTTGATCTCAAACACATACTAAAGTTCTCATGGAAATGAAAAAAACCCTGTTTTGCTGGATTTAATACTCGTCACAAAGCATTACGTAGATGTAAATACGAAATAACAAAACAACTGGAAAAGTACTAGTCTGGATTTGCTAGTTTTATCTCAGTGCTCAATACAAATGTACTTTACAGGAGGCAATTTGTAGGCACTTTCAACATTCAAAAATAAAACTAAGTCCAAATTGACATGGCAGAAACAGGCTATAGGCATTATGCAAATTAGACTGGAAAAAAGTTATCAAAACAACAATAAAAATAACAGCTTTGTTTATGTACATAATAATAATAACATGTAAGTTGTTGTTTGAGAAGGGAATATGTTACTTTTACGTTCTGATATTTTGACGATGATTCACTATCCCACAATGCCATTCACAAATCACTAACCACTGACAAATCACATGCACGTGGGTTTCAAGCATCAGTTTTCACCTGTCGTCAAGGTGTCATAGGTCATGGACATTCACCTTGATCTACTAACACCTGGTTATGCTCAGTTTCACAATAGTCTGTTTTGTTCATATTTTTACACACTTTTACGTGTAAAAAGACATAAAAACCCTTGATACGCTGTATTTGTGCCAAGGCCCAATTAGTACTAATTGAGTTGTTTGAATATTTATATATTTTGTATATTAACTGCATTTATTTAAAACCTGAGATCGAAAAAATCTGTGTGTGTTTCAGGTAAAACCTACACAATGCTTGGTTCTCCAGCAGATCCCGGTGTTATCCCCAGAGTTATCAATGGTCTCTTCCAGACTATTGGTAGGAAGACCAAGGACATGGGTGCACAACCCCACTCATACAAGTTTGAGGTTGCCTTCTCTTATCTGGAGATTTATAATGAAAAGGTAAAAGTGTTGTTTGAATGTTAGTCCAAAAGTTCAGTGTTACTATAATGTTACTATAGCTAGGATTAATGTGTGCAATCTACAGACAGATCTTTGTCCCAGGTCAGCACTTTATGATGTGACAAGTCTACATTCCCAAATTTGAATTTCACATTTCTATGTGCATTAGGGCAAATATCACTTCTCACGCACCAGTGTATTGTTGCCACCATCTGGACAGCATAGATGATGTCATTTGAATCTAATTGTGACGTAAGGTCGAAATGATGTCATACAAGAAAGGACGTCATAGCTGAAGATTGTGGACGTCATTCCACAAATTGTGATTTTTCTAGGACAGCATGTTTCTAAAGGGGGGCTTTCGAGAAATAATGGGTAATAAAGAAATTATTACACTAACACATGTGTCATACTGATTTTACAAAATTTGTATCAGAATCCATGTATTACACACATTCTGGAAATACAAGAATTCTGACACTCATTTCATAAATCAGTATGACACACATACTCGTATAATCTCTCTGAATAATGTAATTGACTTGAAATTGAATGAATATCAGGACAAATACCAAGAAAGTATCTTTAATACATGTAAACTAAGTGTATCAATATTGCATTAAATGCATGGTCATATTACATGTGAATTTGACAAATATGTTACAAAAAAGGTTGCAGATTATCTCACTGGGCAATTATATTTCAGAGCTTGCATGTCACATACATTTCTGGTAATCCATATTATTTGAACCAATCCGAAGCTGTAGTTTGTGTGACAGGCTATTAATTGTAAGAAACACTGGTAGTACTTGAGGAAGAGCTCAGGCAATCCCCCACTCCCTTTTCATTCCCACTTGGGTCAATAAACTTTGTAATGAAAATGTATTGATCCATGCTGAATAAATACCATAAAACAACAGAAATTGTTCAACTTATCCCGCATTAATCCTTCATGCATATACTGTTGTTTTCTGACAGAAGAACGAACTGTGTAAGATCAAGCTGCTAAAGAAAAGTTGTTCCAACCAGTAGAAGTAGCACACTTGCACAATTGTCATGTGACCCGGAAGCTATGACGTCGCATCAAAGCACATTACTGCTTTGTCACCTCCATGAACGGGCGTACTGTTGTATCCCTTATGGAAATAAAGCTGCTGCTGAATTGCGTGTTTCTAAATTCATTGTTTGCTGCTATATTCTCTCCTGTTTATGGTTTGTACCCTTTGTGGTCTTCCCATACCTCTCTTTTGTAACATTTTATCGCTGGTTTGTGGCTCTAGTCACGGTAATTTACAGGCATAATGTTGAATTCGTCACATACTTTTGTGTCTTGCGTTCTGAATTCTTTAATTTGGCTTTGGTAAGCCATTAATTCTGTTTTACCTAACGTTTGTGTGTTTAAAGCTATACTTTTCACTATCTTTTGTGTAATGGTTTTCTCACAAGTTTTAAACAAAAGTTTAATTGAGTTACATTATGCCCCCCGTTTCCCGTTGTGTGCTTGCCGCATTGTTATGATTTTGCTTAAATTCCAGAATTTATGCCTCGTTATACTCACTGCCGAGGAAACAAATCTGGTCGGGGCCCCTAACCTTCTGTGCCTTGATTGTACCTCGCCCTGTACTGTCACAGAGCAGTACTTTCCCTTGTCACCATGCTACTTACGAGTATCTAGGAAATGTATCTCATCGTGTTCGTCGATACCCTGACATGGCTCACAACTCGAAGACTCCCTCTCTCATCAAGAGCAACACCCTTTTGCGGTCTTCTACGCCTCCCATGCCATCAACTTTATCAACAACATTGTACTCCCTTCTCCGGTGACGGGACCTGCTTCTACGTCTCCTCTGCCTTCACAGATGCATACTCCCAACACCAACATCAGCTCCTGGGCATCAGCGTCGAAATGCTGCTTCCCAAGGAGGCCATAGATGTTGTGCACAACCCAGTTCAGACTCCGGGATTTTACTCCTCCGTGTTCTGGTCCCCAAGATGGGCTCCACCAAACTGTTCATGATCCACAACGTCTCCTTTTTCAATCGGCATTACCTGGAACGTCCTCCTTACTTCCAGATGACGACGCTGAGGCTCATTCGCAAGAAAGCCATGGCAGACGCCTATGCCAGGCCGGACAAGGTGGCTCCCACCGAGTGGCAGCTCCATCCAAAAGTCTTTGCCATGATCTGCCGAACGAGCGAATCCCAAAACATTGATCTGTTCACCACATCTCAGATCTGCCAGTTGTTGACTTACACCTCACCAGTGCCAGATCCGGCAGCAGTGGCAGTCAACACCCTCAGCGCTCCCTGGGAAGGATTAAGCACATACAATTTTCCGCCTCCGGTTCTCCTTCCCAGGGTTCTTCAAAAGATCCAGGCCACTCAGAACCTGACACTGAATTTGGTCGCACCTTGGTGGCCAGCCAAAAGTTGGTTTGTCCACCTCCGAGACCTCGTCAGAGACAACCCACTAGAACTTCCGGCGTGGCCCATTCTTCTGTTACCCACACAGTTGGTTGCCACACCTGAACATCTTGGGCTGTGCTGGGATTTTTTGCAAAGAATCATCTCCCAGGACAGCCCGATAGATCATTCACCATTCTCCTTCCCTTCCCCTTTCTCGTCCATTGTGGGTGCCGACAATGAGGCGGAGCTATTGTTATGCCCAGTTAGAGCATTGTGGATTTTCCTACGACAGTCTAAAGCTTGCCGCATGTCTAGGAAAAACCTTTTCCTGCCAGTTCTCCCCCTCGTCGCAGTCGGAGGTCAGCCGGAATACTATTACCCTGTTCACCCGGGCAGTAATCCTCCAAGCTTATAAAGCAGCCCGATTGGATCCCCCCAAGGCTAACAACCCACGAGATCAGGGCGGTCATATCTACCATGGCTCTTCACAATAACTGCTCCATCAAATCGATCATGAAATGTCGTTATTGCCGATACGTCACCATCTTCGCCAGCCACCTCCATCGTGATGTAGCCTTGGAAGTTCACAGCTTTGGCCCCCTGGTTGTAGCCCAACAGGTCACCAATCTTCGACGCCACTGATTCTCAGATACCCAGAGCAGGGCCCGTCGACGTCTCCGGTGTATATCACCACAGATTCGAGGGCTCTTAGGCCAGTTCTAGTTTTTGGCAAACCACATCATTCTATTTCTGTCACCTATTTGGGTTTTCCTTTCTGCATCAACTCTTGTTTCCTTCCAACAAGAATGGTCGTGGCTGTTCCATCATCACTGTGCAGTGAGGGTTCATCGGACCTTGACGAGGGTTTATTATGGAACACATCTGAAGGTATGCCCACCGCCGTGCCATCTGATAAACATGCATTAAGGAGTAATGCAGGATAAGTTCATAAATTTAGTAAAATCTCAATACTTTTTACATTTGTATACTTATCCTGCATTACAACCTCTAAGTGCCCTTCCTTCGCTACGCTACCTCCCTTCACCTCTCCCCCCCAAAGATGTCATGTTTAAAGCAGTAATGTGCTTTGATGTGATGTCATAGCTTCCAGGTCACCTGTCGAGGGTGCTGCCTCTACTGGTTTGAACAACTTTTCTTCAGCAGCTGGATCTCACACAGTTCGTCTTCCTGTCAGAAAACAGCAATAAATGAATTAAGGAGTAAGTATACGAATGTAAAAAAAAAATTGCTTAACTGACATAGGTTCAAGACCTGCTGGAACCAAGAAACTGTGACCTCCCAATCAGAGAGGATGGAAATCATAATATCTTTGTTGCTGGCCTCGCTGAGAAGACAATTCAGAATTTTGATGAATTCAAGAATCTTTTTGGCCCGGCCTCAAATAACAGGTAAATCTATGCAAAGAGCACTTATGTGTTGTCATGTTAGTGTGTGAGTTGGGGTTTACAGCTGTTAGGACTGCAGCAAGGAATGGCAGTGTATGGTGCTTCAACCAAGGGGCATGACCCATGACCAGCCATACCTGAACAAGTCAAACATGGATATTTGTTTGTGAGCATATGGAAGTTCATGGGGTTTTTTCTGCTTCAGGGTACACAAGGTCACGTTTAAGATCGTTGCACTCTTTTCACAATGTGCATGCACGTGTGTGTGGCTGCTTGTACTAGTCCAGACTAATGCCAAATTTATGGTGCAAGCCCAATCTGATACTTATGCTGCAGTTGAACATGAATACCCCACTTGGACAGTGTACTGATTCTGAGCTGACCAGTCCTTGTTATAGCCCCTTAATGCCAAGCACCAGGCAGGGTATCAAGAAGTACTATCTTTTAGCGTTTTGGTATGATGCGTCCACCAACGGAACACCAACCTTCCGTTCTGCAGACAGATGCCGCTAGAACAGGGTGACTGTCATCAATCTAGTAAAACTTTGATGTGGGCTGTCAGGATAGAGTTGTCATGTTGGTGACATAACACCATATTCACCCTTCCTCATCTTCTAATGCCCAGGTCATCTTTTGTTTGAATTTTCTCATCACTTGTTTACGTAACTGTTTTCAGGACTGTTGCAGCCACTAAACTCAATGACAGGTCAAGTCGCAGCCACAGTATCCTGATGTTGAAGGTTCGGAAGACACAGCAGTGTGCCCCCTTCAGGGAATACCAGGGCAAGATCTATCTCATTGACCTTGCAGGATCTGAGGACAATCGCAGGACAGGCAACAAGGGCATTAGGTCAGTTGTGGAGTTATTAGATTAGGATCTCTGGCCTGATTGAACTCAGAAGAAGCAAGACGAGGTCTCATGATATTTAAACCACATGTCTACTGTGACGTCACTATATGATCTTCATACACAACTGTGATCTGTATAACTTAGGTTCACTTCCTCCCAGTGCACTCTTGTCAATATGGGATACAAGTGAACTACAGGTGACTGGAGATATGGGTGGTTATACCTTACTTTCAAAGTCACTTCGATTATTATCTTTTGTGCAGATAGTAATTACAATAACATTTGTATCCATATCACAAACTGTGGTGCTCATATAACATACAGGATATTACTAGTGTGCCTAAGTGTGAAATTTTCAATTTATTGTAAAATGTTTCCTGGAAATTCATTGTGCGCTCCCCTCCCCCCAGACCAGTGATTGCATTGTTTGACTTTCAGACTGAAGGAGAGTGGTGCCATCAACAAGTCTCTGTTTTCCCTGGGAGAGGTGGTAGATGCTATCAACAGTGGTCTGGTAAGACACTATAACAGAAGTTGGTGCCCATCACCAAATCTTCTCTTGCCAAAATCTGAATAGATTTTGATGTTTGTTATTGAGCTGAGCTTATTAAACAAAGACATGTCACTACACCAGGTTTTGGACTCGTGGCTAAAAGATCCATGATCTATTCCTCTTGTGTTGACTGTTGACCCTCAAAGTTCATAACCAACAATAGTACAAATGGTAGGTCAGTGCCTCATGATGCCTAAAGTATAAAACTGTCATTCCCACTGTCATTGTCAATAAGACAGTATACTCTCAGTTGTAAGCTTTCAATAAAGTGTAGTGCATCATTATATGTATGTAGTTGTTTACATTCATGTTGTTTATGTTCCAGCCACGAATTCCTTACAGAAACAGTAAGCTGACTCGCTTGTTACAGGTAGGCTGCATGAAGTACTCCAGGCTCATATGTGATGTGTTTTGCTGTTGAAACATTCGTGACTCTTGTCATATCTGTTGTTAAAAGTAATGTCCCAAGTACTGTAAGTCTTGAAATTAATGCGTCTCCAAATTAATACAACTGCTGACCGCTAGCCAAAAATGCGACTCAATATCAATGTGACTCCCCCACCCCATCCCCATCCCCAGTGGAATGATATATATCCTTACCTTAATCAAACCTTACCTTCATCCAATCAAACAGCAAATAGCATCGCTTATTAGCACTGAGTAGAGCACTTCCGTATTAACAATGAGCAGTGTTTTCCTAAAAACAACACAGTTTATATGTATATTTTGTTGACTGGCATTGAGGAAGTTCAAAGGGAAAAAAATCTTTGAACCAACAACAGTTAACTGATTGGTATGTGGAGAAGGAGTTGACAAACATGAAGGGAGATGACAAGACATAGGCTGTGGATCTGAGGAGTGTGGTGAAACCTATCGGTGCGCATTGGGTTGTGTCAGCCTTTGACGAAGTGTTGCGTGGGGGGCATCTGTCTGGACTGCTGGAGAGGTCAATGATGCCTATTGTGTAATTCCTATTCTTTTTTACTGTGTTTGTGTTTATATTCAAGTTGGTATTTCCACTCCTAGTGTGCAGTGAGGTTGTCTTATTGTTGATAGTCAGTTTGGAGACATAAATGCAAAGTTTCATTAATGCCAACAAAGACCACTCGCATTTTTCCCAATTAATTCAAAATCTACAGTAATTAAATTGGTCAGTCAGCTGTACAGGAAACAATACACAGACATGGTACAACTATCAGCATGCAACGGAGAATGTCTAAAAGAATGGCTTAGTGTAACTTGAATGATGGTTGGTTGTTGTTTAACGCCACACTCAGCAATATTTCAGCTATATGACGGCATCTACCAAGTCAGCAAGCCTGACCACCCTGTTAAGTGTTTGATGCTACCAGACTTCATAACTACCAAGTTATAACAGATAGAAGTGGTTGGTCATTGGATTTACTTCTCAGCTTCCAGAACGCCATCAGACGACGCTAACAGTGACGTCATGCCTGTATGCGTACAGTAAGGGAGGTAACTCTCAAGCCATCAATACGTAACATCTCCCCTTTTAAGGGTAACCTTTAAAGTCTGGAAACATTAATGCAATACTAATGGTAAAACAAGTCTTTGTTCTTAACAGCTCAGTTGCTGAAAACCGAAAGCATATTTGAAACACTTCCCAAACTTTCAACACAATAACAGTTATGAATTGATTTCGTCCTTAGTAAGGCACACAGTTCATAACATAAAAACTAAACAGTTCTTCGTCCTTTCAAAAAGGCTTACAGTCCATAACACAATTTTACTGCAAAACAGCTTTACTTTAAAGTTCTTAATTTGTAAGATAACCTCTGAATCTAGACGGTTGTTTGATCACACGACCACGAGAAGTTCTCTTCTCAGTTGTCTCACTTGACTGTCTAGGTGTCTGTGCAGGAATCTGAACTCTCTCTGTAGTTTTGCTTGATGTTTGGTCTACAGGCTTGTCAGTACAGTTCCTCATAGGAGTTTCAGCGGAAGTTCTTTCCACACACAGATCTGGTTCTAACCGGTTCCTTTCAGCCATATCTGTATCCACAAACAATGGAGGAGCTTCATGAGACTTTCTCAAATGTCGTCTGTTTCTGCACAAGTTACTGCCATCTTCTGTACGCAGTTCATACGACCTCACATCCACCTGTTGTTCTATAACAGCTTTCTTCCACTGTTTGTCGAACTTAGTAGGCTTGACTCTTACCACATCTCCCTCCTTCAGAGCAGGAAGTTCGTTGGTGCCTCTATTGAAGTAGTAAGCTTGTTTAGATTTTTTACAAGCTATCTTGTCTGACACACCATCAACGGTCTTTGGTTGTAAAAGTGTACTTGCTGTTGGGAGTTTGGTCTTTGTTCTCCTACTAAAGAGTCGCTGTACCGGAGAAAATCCTATTCCCTCTGTCGGAACATTTCGCCAGTCCAGGAGAGCTAAGTAAGGATCAGTTTGGGCATGTAGTGACTTTGTCATCAGCTTCTTAGCTATCTTCACCGCGCTTTCAACTTTCCCGTTGGATTGTGGGTAACGAGGTGACGATGTAACATGCTCAAATTCATAGTTGTCTGAGAACTTACGAAAAGCTTCAGAGTTGAACGGTGGACCGTTATCGGAGATAATCTGATTTGGAATCCCATGTCTAGCTAGATGTGACTTGAGCTTCTTGTTGATTTCAGGAGCTTTCTTGCTGTGGAGTCTGTCAACTTCAAAGAAGTCGGAATAATAGTCCACAGTAATCAAAAAGTCTTTCTCATCAAACTCAAACAAATCGCAACCAAGTTTCTCCCAGGGACGAGTAGGAATATGATGACTGATCAAAGGCTCCCTGCTTTGGTCTTGTTGTAGGGTGTTGCAGGTTTCACACTTGCTTACAAGATCTATTATCTCCTGTCCCATGTTCGGCCAGTAGACAAGTTCTTTTGCTCGTCGTATACACCCTTGCACACCGATGTGGCTTGAGTGAATTCTCTCCATGATGTTGCCACGTATACTTGCAGGTACAACAACACGCTCGCCCTTGAATACTACGCCATTCTGCATAGAGAGTTCGTCCCGAAAGGTAAAGTACTCACGTACTGAGTGTGGTAAATCTTCCTTTGACGGTGGCCAGCCTTGCTGTATGAGCTGCATCAGCTTGCTCATGCAAGTATCTTTACTTGTGGCTTGTTTCAGTTCAGCTAGTCTCTGTTGAGATATGGATAAATGCTCGACCATTTGAATTGTCTCAGTGTCAATAGCTGTTGGGCTCCTCATGTCTATCATCAACACTTGGCCTTCGTCAGTGATCAATTGTCTGTCATGTGGTAAGTACGCACGACTTAATGTGTCAGCCATGAACATCAGGCTTCCTTTCTTGTACACCACTGTAAAGTCGTACTTCTGCAACCGTAGCATCATGCGTTGCAGCCTTTTAGGTGCGCTCAGGAGGCTCTTTCTCAAGATGGACTCTAAAGGTTTGTGATCTGTCTCTATGGTCACCTTGCGTCCATACACATACTGGTCAAAACGTTCCAGTCCAAAGACTATTGCAAGCATTTCCTTTTCTATCTGAGCGTAATGTTGCTCTGTGCTTGTCATTGATCTGGATGCACATGCCACTGGTTGTCCATCTTGCATAAGACAAGCTCCGAGGCCACTTTGTGAAGCATCACATTGGAGATGTGTGACAGCTTCATTATCAAAATATTTCAGAACAGGAGGTTCTGACAGAATGTGCTTAATCTTCTCCAAGCACTGTCCATGTACAGTGTTGTCCCATCGAAAGTTCACTTCACCTTTCAGCAGATCCCTCAGTGGAGCGGTGATTTCAGAGAGATTGGGTACAAACTTTTGCACATAGTTGACCATCCCCAAGATGCGTTGCACACCTTGTTTGTCAGTAGGTGAAGGCATTTTCTTTATAGCCTCAACCTTGGTCTCATCAATTTGGAGTCCATCAGCAGTGAGTACATGACCCAGGTAGGGCACTTTTGGCAGTTTCAACTTCAGTTTAGACTCATTCAGTTTGATGTCCTTCGCTCGACAACAATTAAAAAGGGCGATCAATTTCTTGTCGTGATCGACCTCAGCATCCTGATCAGTTTCTCCCACGCCGTAAACTAAGATATCATCATGAATCGCACGAACACCATCCAGTCCAGATATGGCATCATTCAGTCGTCGTTGTAACTCTTCAGGAGCTGGTGAGAGGCCAAATGGCATACGGAGCCAACGGTACTTTCCCCAGGGAGTTTCAAACGTTGTCAGGTAACTGCTCTGTTCATCCAACTGAACATGCCAGAACCCATTTTTGGCATCCACCAAAGAGAAACATTTGGCCTTGGCCAACTTAGGCAACACATCATCTATAGTCATTATCGGATAATGGTTTCTCTTAAGTGCCTTGTTTAACGGTTTCGGGTCGATACAGATCCTGATTTTGTTTGTCCTCGGTTTCTGCACCACCACCAAGGCTGACACCCAGTCTGTTGGTATGTCAACAGGTGTAATAATCTTCTGCTTAGTCAGTCTTTCCAGTTCAGATTTCAGCTGAGATTGTACAGCAACAGGAATCTTGCGACATGGTAACTGTACTGGGGTTACAGTATTGTCAACCTCCAAGTGTAGAAAGCCTTCCAGAGTTCCCTCACCATCAAACAAATCCTGATAATTTTGTTTGATATCAGTCATTTCCAGTTTCCCAGGCTCAAGTGAAGAGTCAGCAGTTAGATTCACCTCGGGTGATTCCATCAACAGAATATTGTCAAAGTTCACAGTGATCAGTTGCATCTGTTGAACAGCTCGTGCCCCTAATATTGGTTTGCATCCCTTCTCAGACACAATTAGAAACTCAACACTGTACCTGCGGCCATTCTTGGGGTTTTGTAGTGACACACGTATCTTCCCAAGAGGTTTTGTCTCAGCACCGTTGTACATTCGCAGTGTGGAAATCAGATTAGCGTCCAATTTACTGAAGTTGTCATCCCTGAACACTTGAGTATACACAGAAGAAGGCAGAATGTTAACAGTTGACCCACAGTCAAGTTGAAATTCAACTTCCTCTCTATTCACAACCAATGTTGCAAATATCCTTTTGGGGTAATTCTGATTGACCAAGTTCATTTCATCAACTTGTACAGAATTGACACAGTCAGAAGTTACAGACATTACAAACTCTTCAGACTCACTATCTTCAGTATCACTATCCACCATGTGAACCCTGTCTTTGCTCTTTCCAGGACACAAAGCAGCAAAGTGATTTCTCTTTTTGCATTTTGCACAAGTCTTACCCCATGCCGGACATACTTTCTTTTGAAACTCATGCCTCTTTCCACAAATCTTACATTTGAGTAGTTCAGATGTTTTGATCTGTTGCTTAGCATTAGGTTTCTGTGACTTGTTGGGTTTCCTTTGACTTACAAACTGAACATCTTCAGCTTGCGATAGTGATTTCAGACGTCTCGTCGCACTTTCATGCGACCTACAAATATCTATGCAGTCCTTTAAAGACAGTTTTGAAGCTTGTAACAATCTCTTTCTTGTTGCATTATCACGGATGCCCTTTACCATCCTGTCACGGGTCAATGACTCCGCTAAATCCCCATAGTTGCAACTCTTTGCAAGATTTCTTAATACTGCAACATAAGAATCAATGGACTCGGATTGTTCCTGGTCCCTTCTGTTGAAATTGTATCTTTCCCAAGTTTCATTTGTTTCCCCTATACAATAATGTTCAAGTTTTTCCAGTATTTTGTCCACCTTCTGTCTATCTGCTTCATTTTCAAATTCTAATCCATCTACAATGTCTAAGACATCTGGACCAATACATGTCAATAGGGTAGCCGATCGACATTCCTCACTATCAGTCCTAGTGCGAGAAGCAAGCTCATAATTTTCCCACATTCGTTTGAATTTCTTGAAATTTCTAGACAGATCACCTTTCAGATCTAATCTAGTAGGCAGTGGAATGTTAACTGGTATGTGAACAACTTGGAGTGCAGCCTGATTACCTTCTGCCATGATCAGTCAACAACAGTAATCAAGCAATATGGCGTAATGGCTTTCCGTAGATTCAATTACACACAGAATAGTATTCAGTCAGTTCAGATAGAAAAAACACCGTTGTTCTCATAGATCATATCAGAAACAGTTCAGATTACTGGTTGAAATCCCTTACAGTCAGAGTATATATCAAATTTCACAACGAAATATGACACAGTTCAGTAGATTTACCACGCCGTATTGGTATCACGAAAATAGGTGACATGCATCAGAAACGCACGCGGTCAGTCAGACAGGGAACAGAAACAGTCAGAATAGGGAATTTCAACACAGTTCAACGTTATGATAGCAATCTAAGTTTTACTTCTGACACCATGTTAAGTGTTTGATGCTACCAGACTTCATAACTACCAAGTTATAACAGATAGAAGTGGTTGGTCATTGGATTTACTTCTCAGCTTCCAGAACGCCATCAGACGACGCTAACAGTGACGTCATGCCTGTATGCGTACAGTAAGGGAGGTAACTCTCAAGCCATCAATACGTAACACACCCGATCCCGTTAGTCGCCTTTGGCGGCAAGCATGGGTTGCTGAAGACCTATTCAACCCTGGATCTTCATGGGTCGTAACTTGAATGAATATTCTACAGTTGACTTTAGTTTTACCTCACTGACATGTCAGTCCTATTTTGAATGTGTATGTAGGATTCCATCGGTGGGTCGTGTCATTCCATCATGATCACCAACATCGCCCCTGAGGAGCACTACTACTACGACACCTACTGCACCCTCAACTTTGCCAGTAAGAGCAAGAAGATCGTCAACACCAACACTATGTGTGTGAAGGAAGCTCCAGGTTAGATAGCATGCTTTATCACTGTTTTCTTTGTGCACTTTCCGAGGGGGACTACACTATGCCCCTTCCATGATAAGCCAGTACTACCAAAATCAGTATTCTATCACATATCATATGTGATTTCTCAATGACAAGACTGATGGGTGCAGGTTAAGTCGGCTTCTCCAGCCTAAGTTTTATTGCCTGCACTCAGTACAAAGAGGCTAATAAATGTCACTTCAAATTTATACCCTACAAGATCTAAACAAAGTGTTCATGTTTACATCCTGTTTTACTACAGATTGCCAATCTTCCGTAAGAGGCAGATTGGCTAACTTAGGAGTAAGAATGATGTACTGTATTCTATGCCAAAATTACAGTAATGATGAAGTGTAAATGTACTTGTCACTGCTTTGTGTTATATTAAAAACATATATCCTTTTGTTTTAATTGACCAGTAAGCCAGTTTGTGTGATGTGCAGTCAGTTAGGTACAGTGGAGAAACAATAATGAAATCATGCCCGTAACCACCGTCTCAAGCTCAGGAATTTGTCCCCATTTCATGACCATCTCACTGCATACCCAACCTGCCGTGTTTTTGATGACTCTACCCAATTTTCTGGCCCAACCCCACATTTCAATGGATTCATTGCGACTAGGACTTCATTTCTGCATAAGGCATATGTATGCTATTTGCTGCTGATAGTGGTCAATTTGGAGGTTAAGGTTATAAAGGCTAAATTTAATCCCTGCAACCCCTATTGTGTGACTCATGGCATGTGGGACCCAGCATTGGTACATCCACAGTCCCTGCGTTTGTATTAGCCATTACATGCAATTGTGATTACAGTTCTGTGGGATTCTTGGTCACAATAAGTCCCCAGTCCCCCATGCTTGTTCTAAGATCCAACTCTCATGGGGATGAAGATGCTGCTTTCAGTCACTGGTTCTCCCGGTCCATACCTCCATGGTCTAGTGGCAGACCGTCCTACCAGAAAGTGGAAAGTCCATACGACCGCCTCCATGGTCTAGTGGTAGAATGTCCTCCCGGAGAGCGGAAGGTCCATACGACCACCTCCATGGTCTAGTGGTAGAATGTCCTCCTGGAGAGCGCAAGGTCCATACGACCGCCTCCATGGTCTAGTGGTAGAATGTCCTCCCGGAGAGCGGAAGGTCCATACGACCGCCTCCATGGTCTAGTGGTAGAATGTCCTCCCGGAGAGCGGAAGGTCCATACGACCACCTCTATGGTCTAGTGGTAGAATGTCCTCCTGGAGAGCGGAATGTCCAGGGTTCGATCCTTGGCCGCATCATACCAAAGAAGTAAAGTATATGGTTCATGTTGTTACCCTGTCTGGCGCTCGGCATTAAGGGGCTAAAACAAGGACTGGTTGGCTCGGTTCAGTATACTGCCTGAGTGGGGTGTTCATGTTAAACTGCAGCATGGTATCTCTGGGTTAGCACCATAAATTGGCATCAGTCCGGACGAGTACCTGACTACCAGCAGCCACATACACAATGCATGTCGCTATATAAGTGCAATAATCTTGGACGCAATGTTAAACCCAATTTCACCTCACCTCCTGGTCCATACTCAATGGTATCTACAATACTGGTGACTCAAATTTGCTGATACTGGTGATAGTCATGTCTGTGTTCTAGTTGTGTCAGCAGTAAGTCATCAATCCAAACTGAAGAGAAGTAACTCAGCACCTCTCCACACAGTTGGGAAAAAGGCCAAACTGTCTCCATCGTCTCCCCCCGTGAGTGCCGAGGCCCCAGTATCCAGTGACCCTGCTCCACTCCTCAGGTCAGTAGCGTCAGGGACACAATCCATGCAGTTCGGGGAGCAGGAGTGCCAGATAACACACTCTACGGCTTTCAGCAAATGGTCAACATATATTTGTTGTCTTTGATGATAAACGCTGAAACAATCAGGACTATATTATAGCATATAAAAGAGCAATGTATGATAAGGATACACACACCTCTCATACAGCATGTAGAGTAAAGCTGTAGATATGTATACATGTACCTTCTATGCTGGTCAGTGATTTTGAACAATTACTTATGCATACACTTATAGAGTTAATCATGCACTATTAATAAAACATAAATACATATGTATCATACCTCGTCTCAAGGACACAGGCTAGAACCTTTCTACTCAGAGATGTAGTGAGTAGCCCTGAACACATTAGCACAGGCTTGTATGGAATACTGGCATAAGAAATACTTGAATAGAGTTAATCATGCACTATTTTCAAAACATACTTATCTCAGGGAGGCAGGATAGGACCTTTCCAATCAGAGATGCAGGAATGTAATAATTAATGCACTTACCCTATGTAACATGATGCAGAGGTGTTCTCAGGAGATGTTGTGAGAAATATGCCGACTGGCCAGCAGAAGAAATTCAGCAGAAAGCTGAGAACAATTACCAACTAATCACAAGCCAAGCCACCCAGTGATACTAACTCGAACCTCAATAAAAAAAGTAGCTTAACTACCCAAGCTGACTACAGAAACCAGCTTATCTAGGAGTTGGTAATTGTGTGCAAACCATTAGTGTTTGTATGTTTAGGGTAACACAGACAAGTGTTTAAGGGGATACATGTTAAATATTTAGGTTGAGGTTGTTAATTTAATTTAGCTTAATTTAATTCAATGATGCTGTAAGATTCAGCATGTTATTTACAAACATACTGCTACACACACATGTCACTTTGAAGAGACTGTAAAAAACACTACTGTAACTACAAACTACAAATTTAGGAATACAATTAGTGGATAAAGTACTCAATCCAATAACTTAATTCTAACCTTGGAAAATAATCCAAAGATCCAAAATCAACTGAATATGGTATGCCTTATCCAGTCAAAGATATATATATGGAGTGACAGGAAATCTCCTGAGATGTCCAGTACAACTATAGTCTGGAAGGTAATTTAAGGTACCAACGTTTACTACAATATCTGAAAAACTATCGGACCTACTCCAGTCAAAGTTGGTATGATATTATTAAACAGTCATACATAACTGGATATTACATTTAAAGACAATCAGTGCATGAATACAAAATCTGTCTATTTAGCTATCACTATATTTCATCAACAACCAGACCTGTTCGTCATGGGTGGAACAAGCATTCATTGAAACAGCCATCTGCATAATGCTACCCCAGTGTCACAGGGCCATATGACACAGTTGAACCAATCAACTCAACTGGAAAGGGTGCACAGGAATCACGCACGCACGAATACGGTGTTAGCGTTGGGTGTCTCAACGTGCGTGATTCCCGTGCACCCTTTCGAGTTGAGTTGATTGGTCCAACTGTGTCGTATGGCCCTGTGCAATAATTTTGAACCCCATTTCACCTGACATGCTTTATAACAGGCTTAAAGCAGACACTTTCAGTAATATATCTAAACTGATTATGTACAATTACAAGAAATACTCAGCCCCTGTCACGCACAAACTGACTACAGTGGAGTTGGTCAGGCTCTGTGACTTGGTCACTGTCACTGGTCTGCATGGTCAAGTTATTTACTGGCTGCCTTAAAATCAGATGTAATGATGTTGACTGTGATGCTGAACATAGTCTGTTTTTCAACTGGTATAGATTTTTGAAAGCACTTAACATTTCAATGAGAAACTACGAAAAAATGAGTGTGTAAAGCTATATTCTTTATGCTCCTTAAGTATTGGTAACAGTCTGTAAATCACATCAGTATAAGCCTGAGCTATGTTCCACAAATCAATCATAATGCTAAGACAATTGTAATTCCTATACTTTAACAATGACTTACGACAGTTGTAGCATTACAATCATTTTATGCAACATAGCCCTGTTTGTTTTCAAGAAGTCTGTTCATGTAATTTGCAAATAACTTGTGGCAGTGGTGTCATGTCACTGTGTAAACTGATACAAGAACAAGAGATACTTAAAAAGTGCACAATTCACAACTCAGGAATATAACACTGGTGATGTTTGAACCGACAGTCCACTGATGCGGCGACAGAAAAACCTTGAGCAGACAGTCAACAGTCGCCTTCAGGAGATGGAGCAAAACATCCTCCGCCACATCCAACAGGTAGCAGCACAATCCACCAACACTTCCCAGAGGGCACCTGTCTCCATGGAGACCATCCACAAACAACTGTCAGCCTTCCAGGATCAACTCAAACAGCTAGGGCAGTCAACAACAAAGACAAACAAGGCAATAGACAGTACCACAGATGAAGAGAGAGGGAGAAAGGAAACAGAACGGAGACCAATGAGGGGTTGGTGTTGTTTGCTGTGAAACATGTCTAATGTCCCCATTGCCAAACACTCCGATACAGTTGTATGTACCACTCAAACAAGCTGACAGACTTTGGTCAGTGATTGCTGCACTAAGTAGTCATGTACATATGGTGTTAAATGAACTGAAAGATCAAATTGCCACTTGAGTTTTTACATTGTTTCGCATGAAATAAAAGTGTAAAGTGTTAAAATATAGGAACAAAAATAAGTTTACACAAAAGTATATGTTCCATTTAGGAGTACATTTTATTATCCCCAAATTTTACAAATGGGGAGGTATAGCGATCAGCATGTCCGTCTGTCCTCTGTCCGTTTTCCAATTCTTGAGCAGAACTCCTTAACTGTTGAATATTTCTTGATGAAACTTGCTATACAGATCAGTCAAGTGGTGAACTGGTGCCTTGATAATATGGGATATGGAAAAAGAATGAACAGCATTGTTTTATTCTTCACTGAACTGAAGGTATCCAATGGCAATGAACCAAAAGTCGGGTATAAGTAGCCAAACTCCATTTCCAAGTTGCACCAGATTGGGGGACTATGTCATCACCTAAAGACTCTGTTATAAACATAATTGTTTTTCACAAATATCCAGTCATGTTTGTTTTGTTTTTTAACTGTGAAATAAACAACCTCATTGCTGGTTGGTTTGGGATCAAGAGGATTTGATAGTCATGAAGTACACAATATTTGTTCCACCAGAATCCTGATGAACTCCTCAAACTAATTTGTAGATACAACGAACCAGCAACACAAGATGAAGGTGGGGAAGAAGAGGTCTGTGAAGGATGGTGACGACATCACCTGCAGTCCCCTGTTTATTGATCCTCCCAGGCTCTTCAAGAAAGGCTTCAAGTCAACTGGGTCCAAGAGGAACATATTTGGTAGGCTGTTTCACTAACACTTCACTATCTGTGAACATGATCCACCATATCGGTCAGAGAAGAAGGGGCATTTTTTCCAGTGTCCATGACCCTGTCTTCCAGGCATATATGTTGTCTGAGACTTTGATCACAAGTCACAGCACAATCCATAGCACCACATATGTCTTATGCCAGCATGTACAGACAGTACCCCAGATCACAAAACTGAACTGTTATTCCTGACACACAGGCAAATGAAGGTTTGGAGGGGTAGGTGCTAATTGTATTGACATTTACATAATCACTTTTCTCCTGAAGATTTGTTTGTTTACTTGCCCCAGTATGTTGATATAGTTAGCAGTATACTTTGACCTCAGTTGTGATTGTTTCTTCCAGAAGAGGATGACATAGCTGAGACCAAAGCTTTAGAGAGACTGGCTGAAAACAAGGGGCCAGCACACCTACTCAACACAGAGGCACAGCGTAAACACAGTATGTGCGACTTTTGTCTTGATCCTTACTTGTTACACTTGTAGCCAATGTTTGTAGATGGAACCATGTACAATGAGGATCAGCTGGTGACCTGGGTTGATATTGTGGTTTATTGTAGTTTATTGGTGCGTCATTGTTTCTTGGTGGCCTGAGTTGCTCATGCTATCAACCCCTGGTTTGAAAGTCCACTCACTTTGTGATAATTGTATATAATGAGCATAAGTATGAAGTGTAGTATTCTCCATACACCCCCACTTTATGGTGTGTATATGTATTCCTACTCCATGGTTCTACTGTGTGTATATGTATCCCTACTCCATGGTTCTACTGTGTGTATATGTATATGTATTCCTACTCTATGGTTCTACTGTGTGTATATGTATTCCTACTCCATGGTTCTACTGTGTGTATATGTATTCCTACTCCATGGTTCTACTGTGTGTATATGTATTCCTACTCCATGGTTCTACTGTGTGTATAAGTATTCCTACTCCATGGTTCTACTGTGTGTATATGTATCCCTACTCCATGGTTCTACTGTGTGTATATGTATTCCTACTCCATGGTTCTACTGTGTGTATATGTATTCCTATTCCATGGTTCTACTGTGTGTATATGTATTCCTACTCCATGGTTCTACTGTGTGTATATGTATATGTATTCCTACTCTATGGTTCTACTGTATGTATCTGTATTCCTACTCCATGGTTCTACTGTGTGTATATGTATTCCTACTCCATGGTTCTACTGTGTGTATATGTATATGTATATGTATTCCTACTCTATGGTTCTACTGTATGTATCTGTATTCCTACTCCATGGTTCTACTGTGTGTATATATTACATTCAGTAATACGTTACCACTGTTATACCGAGGCTGTTGTCTCCCACAACTGCTGCTATAGCGAAATCTACCACAGAGATCTCAATTACCTCATGCAGCACGTGCGTAGCCACCTAGCTGCCATGCGACACCCTTCACTCTTGTCTCCTTCGTCTGCTTAGCAAGACGTGTTTTCTCCTGCTGAAGCGTTCCTTGAAGATTTGGTGATATTTATTATAGTTTATTCTCTAATAAACTGTGCTTTTATGGGTCGTTGCGGTAGCTACGCTTGGTTATAATTTTCCCGCCAAACGGAAAATTTTTCCCGCCCTTTTTTCTATATACTTGCGGGGTTCGCGTATGCACGTTGTGTTTTACGTTTCCCCTGTTCTTGTATGTTTTGGGGGTTAACATAACTTATTTCTTTAATAAAAGTTATATGTGTATGTTATATGTTCACATTGCTCGTTTATTTTCTTGTGAAAATGTTCGTTTGTGAATCATTGTGGTGCGTGCGTTGTAACCATGTTTTGTTCTTTGTTTATAGCAAACAATCAATGTCTGACATGGATATGTCCCCAGTATCCACCCCCTCTACCCCTGCTCCTCGGAGTTGTGGGGTGTGCAGAAAGTTTTTGTCGTCCCGGGATCCCCACGATCGTTGCCCGCGGTGCAGGGTTCCTTGCGGGGTCACCCGGTGCATCCTGTGCGAAGGTCTGGGGCCTGCGGAGTTTGAGCGGTACCGGCTGTACGTACAGTCCGTCTCCACCCCTGTGGTGGCCGGTTCGTCCGGTCGGGGTCCCCGTGCGGGTACCCCCTCCTCGGCTGCGGCGGATCCCCTTGCGGCCCTCGGGCTGTCTGGGGATTCCGTCGCCGCATTGTTGTCGAAACTTGTGGACTCCAAGCTGGCCGCCTTATCGCAAGATAGGCCGCTGGCTGTTCCGTCCCCGGCCTCTTCGGTGGCCGCGGGGTCCACCGGTAAAGCGGCGGATCTCTTGGCGGCCCGTGTGCTGTCGGGGATTCCGTCGCTGCATTACTTGCATAACTTGTGGACTCCAAGCTTGCGGCCTTATCTCAGGATAGGCCGCTGGCTGTTCCGTCCCCGGCCACTTCGGTGGCCGCGGGGTCCACTGGTACGGCGGCGGCTCCCGTGGTCACCGGTCCTTCCCCCGAACCGTTGCTCCCGCTATCGGTTTAGGACCGCGTGGCCATGGTTTATGACCTCTTTGAGGACATGCCCCGGCCGGTACCGCGGGGAATCCACGACTGTGGGTTCCTCCGAGGTATACGATGAGTCTTCCGCCACGGCTTTCCCCGCATCGACCTTGCTGCACGGTTTCAAGCCTTCCTTGGAGAACGCCTTCGCGGCGGCCTCCGGTCGGGGTCTCCCGTTGCCTCCGACGTCGTGGAGAAAGGGTTTATTCCCGGTACATGACCTTGCCTTTCCCGAGGCTGGTCCTACCGCGGTGGCCCATGTTGAGCGGTTGGGTGTCCGTGCCCCACCGGCTGCTACGGTAACGCAAGCTACCTTGCACCAGCTGGACGCCCTCGCTCGGCACTCCATGTCTCACGGAGACACTTACTTGGCTGCAGCGGCCCGTCTGGTCGAAGGTTCTCCCACGGACCGTGACCAGCGCATTTACAACTGCCTGCTCAGTTTAAATGCTTCCCTGGAGTACGTTGCCGAGGACTCTCGGCACACACTTGCTCTTGTTGGGTCCCTGCATAGGCGCCTGGGTGCCGCTCCTAACCGGAGCGCGCCCCAGGCTGCTGCGGCATGTAGGTCTCAGGGGTCGGGTTCTTCTTCCTCTGGGAAGTAGCCCCGCCCCGAGGGCTCCGGTATGGGCAATCAGCTGCCCTTTCGCGGGAAGACGGGGAACTGGGGGAAGCCCAAGTCGTCAACGGACGGCAAGGGCCCCTCCAGGTGACTCTCATTGGAGGGGTTCGTATGCCGACAGCGCCAACTTCGGTTGGCCCTTAGGCGAACCCGAGTCACTTGGCCCTGGACAGTTGCGCCTGCCGCAACCTGTCAGGGCCCCCTCTCCTTCCCCAGTGGGAGCCAGACTCCAGACTTACTGGGAGAATTGGGAACAAGTGTTCGACGACCCGTGGGTGGTCAACACGATTCGGTACGGCTATCGGCTTGATCTCAAAGCGAATCCGCCGCTCACCGTTGCCCCGTTGGCAGGTTTCGATTCGGAAACCGATCTTCCCATCCTCGCCGATGCCATCGGCAGGTTGGTGGAGAAGGGGCAGTACGGGAGTTAGCTCTACCAGAAATGACACCGGGGTTTTACTCCAGGATATTTCTCGTTCCCAAGTAGGACAGTGCCGAACTCAGAATGATTCACACGTCCGCTCCCTGGCTGTTCACCCAGTTAACCACCCCCATTGTGGGGTTCCTCCACAGGAGGGGTGTCCGGTACTTCGCGTACCTGGACGACTCGCTAGTAGCAAATCGAATGACGGACACCCTGTCACGCCATCTCGATTTCGCACGTCGGCTCTTGGAGCAATTTGGGTGGATTATCAATCTCCCCAAGAGCGAGTTAACCCCTTCTCAGAACTTGCTGTTCATCGGAGGTCGGTTCAACACGGTGTCCCATCGCCTCTTTGTTCCCCCAGACCGGTGGCACAAAATTCAGGCGATGATTGCCAAAGTCTTAGCGGTGCAACAGACTGTTCACTTTTGGGAACAGCTGTTAGGGCTACTTGTATCAGCCCAGGACTGCACCGCACGGGGTCGTCTCCAACTCCGCCCGCTGCAACGGTTTTTAATCCAGTTGTTAGCAACGGAGGTGAACAGTGCGACCGTCGCCCTCCCGGATCGGCTCCGACCGCATCTGGAGTGGTGGACGGTCCCTTACGTTGTCTTATCAGGAGTCTCTATGCGGCCCTACCGGGCCACGTTGACCCTGTATACAGACGCCTCTCTAGTGGGCTGGGGCGCCCATCTAAAGGGGGAGGTGAGCTCGGGGCTGTGGTGCGTAGACGAACTAGGTCTTCACATCACTTGTCTCGAGTTCAAGGCAGTGATCAACGCAGTCAATCACTGGAAGCATCGTCTCGTCGACGCCCGGCTCATGCTGGCGACCGACAACACGACGGTAGTGTCCTATGTGAACAAACTGGGGGGAACCCACAGTCACTCGCTACTCGATCTCACGTTCGAGTTTTACGCTCTGGTGGACAGTGTCCCGTGCCAGATACGCGCCCGTCACATCCCAGGTGTGCGGAACGTACTGGCCGATGCTCTATCGAGGCCTCAGGATCCGAGCCCCACAGAGTGGATGCTGAACCCAGTAGTGTTTCAGTGGCTGTGCGAACGTTTGGGTCGTCCGATGGTCGACCTGTTCGCAACGCGGTTCAACAATCAACTCCCGTTGTTTGTATCACCAGTCCCGGACCCGAGGGCCATCGATCATGATGCTCTCGCGTTAGACTGGACGGGCTTGGTCGCTTATGCTTACCCGCCGACAGCGTTGATACCACACATTCTAAGCCGGCTCCGAGGAGTTCGCTGTCGAATGTTACTGATCGCGCCCATGTGGCCGAACAGATCGTGGTACCCCGACTTGCTGACCCAGGTCACGCAGTCGCCACTTCCACTGCCTGTGAGACCGGATCTCTTGATCCACCCTCACACCCGTCAGCTTCATCCAAACGCAGGGCAGTTCAATCTGCACGCGTGGATGTTGTCACCGAGCGTCTGAGGAGTAAAGTTTTTTCTCGCCGGGCGTCTGGGGCATACATTAGTATGCATCGTGATTCTACCCAGAAGGTGTATAATGCACGTTGGGTTATTTTCACGAAGTGGTGTTGTAAACATCACATTCATTCGCCAGATAAGGTATCTGTGCAGGATATTGCTCGTTTCATGTCTCACTTGCGAGAGACCCGGAAACTCTCCGGGGGTTCCATTGCCAACTATGTCTCGTCCGTTGCTACGGTACGGGACGTTGCTATGGGTACCAGTCTCTCCAAAGAGCCGGTGATACGGGGTATTATCAAGGGTTTCAAACAACACGATCTTAAGAAGGGCCGCCTTCGGGCACCGGCCTGGGATCTTTCCCTAGTGTTGCAATCACTTACGGAAGCTCCGTATGAACCCTTGCATAGTGCTTCGTTCCGGCATGTGACTTGGAAAACAGCATTTCTCCTCTCCTTTGCCACGGCG